TTTATGTTTGATCGCTTGGAGAGAGTAAAAAATAATGTAATTTTGGTTTTAATTTGCCAATCTCAGATTTCCCGTCAATCTGGATTATGTTGACTGTCTTTTCAAAAAGTTGGCGCTTAACCCGCGCCCCACTGGGGGGGTTATTTATAGCCCCCCCTCCCGTTTTTCTGCAATAACTTCCAAACCGCTTGACGTATCGACGCCAAACTTTCAGTACCTTCGGCCGCATCAATTTGACACCTTGTGTCAAAATTTGAACTTCGTAGCTACCATAGGTCGGCCAGAAATGACGTCAGAATGACGTCATGTTCGGCCGATTTCGACGCAAAACATTGAACCACGGCAATCGCTCCCAAGGGCTCAGTTTTTAAGCTAGATCCAATTTCTTTGCATGAGAGGACTCAGAATAGACTGCGCTATCAAACTGCTATCTCGGATTTTCGAAATTTTGAAATTTTCGAAAATTTTAAATAATAAAATTCAAAATTTACATTTTTACATTTTTTTCAAAAAGTTTTTGACTTCGAAAAAACCGGAATATATGTGATAGAACGCGTTATTATGACTAACTCTAGCAAGTGTTAGCTAAATATCTTCAAAAATGGCCAAGTTATACGCATTATTGCAAAAAATTCACAATTATTAATTTTTCAAATCAATTTTTCAGCACGTATTTGACATCGTACGCCAATATAAATAGCACCATCGTGTTCCTGAGCTCAAACTGCATCCAATAGATACCTTTTTTGTCGAAAAATTTTAATTTCAAAATTTGACCTTTTTTGACCTGAAAGTGACCTGAACTAAGCTAAATTCGACTCAAAATGACCTCGAATGACACAGACGACATCAAATTCGAAATCTCTGACCTAAATGGACCATAAAACATGTGTCACGTGACCGACGCATGATATAATATTTTCGTGACCTGTGATGACCTGACCTTGACCTGAAAATCAAAGTATAAGTTTGGTACCCTCAGGGTATCTAGAGCATCTGTTCACGAGTGTGTGAACCAAAAATGAGCCTGATCTGACTTGTAAGACGGCGGCCAGAGCCCAAAACGTGAACAAGCCAAAATGCTAATAATTTTTACTTTGACCTGACCTGTGACGTCATCGGTGACCTCGAGATCAATGAAATTAGGTTTCGCTCGACAGTTTTTCTGGGGCTATCAGACGCCGTTTGAATATTGACGATCGGCCCAGTAGTTTCGGAGTTAGGAGGGGGGGCTATGAATAGCCCCCCCCCCCCCCCCCCAGTAGGGCGTGTTATACGCAGACCCCAGTGGGGCGCGGGTTAAATATGTCGCATTAGACGTGCTCAACGTGTTTACCTCGGTTTGCGGTTGGGCCCTTCCTCTGTGCGTCACATCTGTACTGCCACCATCCCCAGGCGCGGCGGCCGGCTCACACGAGCATCGGCCCGACTTCCTGATGAGTCTGCTGCACTGCCTCAGCCAGCTGCAGACTATGCTGCCCGACCTGGTGCCCGCCTCAGGTGAGACACGGTACCCTAACCAGCTACAGACCATGCTGACCGACCTGGTGCCCGCGTCAGGTGAGACACAGTACCTCAGCCAGCTGCAGACCATGCTGACCGACCTGGTACCCGCCTCAGGTGAGACACGGTACCCTAACCAGCTACAGACCATGCTGACCGACCTGGTGCCCGCCTCAGGTGAGACATTCTGCTTCGACGCCTCATGTGAGGCTGATTTGGTTCTTTTTTTTTGCTACATCAGACATGTTCGGATGTTTGCTACATCAGACAAAGTGCCACTACGAAAGTGGCGTATACATTATTAGAGCAATGCTATCCTGAACAGGCAGCGATGTTGCATGTGTCTAACATTCGCTCCCCCTCCCCCAGGCGAATGTCGCTGGCTATGTGACCCCTCCCCTCTGACCCCTTCCTTGCCTAGGACACTGTCTTTTGTCTGTGTGACCGCAGCCTGGCCCACCCCTCCGCCCTCAGGCGACTGTCTGCACCTGCTCACCGTACCGCCGTCGCTGGCCGTGGCCGACCTGGCCCTGCGCTGCACCTCGCCCATCGAGCTGACCCGGCTGTCGGCGCGGGCGGGCGCAGTCCGACTGGACCTGGGCAGACTGATGCTGGGGCGGCTATGGCCGCAGCTGGAGACGCCCGGACGGACTCCACTCTGGGAGGATGACACAATCTGGGTGAGAGGACGAGAGAGTCGGGGAGAGAGGCCGGAGAGGACAGTCGGTAGACGAGGCTGGGAGAACGACGGAGACTCAGTGAGAGACCGGGGTGGGTGGGAGTCGGGGTGAGCTGATGGTGGGAGGACGATAGAGAGTAAGAGGCGGCGAGGATGACGGTGTGGTTGAGGGGATTGGGGAGGGGACCGTGCACTACTATGTTCAAAACTGTACAAACTTGAATAGCAGCTGGTAATTTTCTCTCTCGCATGTTTATGAGTAAGACCTGCATCGGACTATGAATGATTGTCAGCTTTAGCAGTGATATCCTTCTAAATTGGCTAGCTCGTTATGGTGGTCAATCTGACTTACTGTGGACTAATATGGGCTGACGGACGTCATCGTTCTTTGTTACAGGTGGACCTGTCACCACCGACTGCCAGCGGTCCGGGCGGCGGAACCCCTCAGGAGACAGCGGCTGACCCGACTTCCTCTCCGGTCCGCGGCCGGCGCCGGAGTCTGCCCGTGAACAGTCTGTGTCCGCCATCCCCATCCACCACGAGAGAACCGGTCAGCCTGCCCACCTCGGCTACTGTCCCCAACCTTTCCTCACCGGCAGCCGGCAAAATAACCGACTCTGACTCACCGCGACTTGTCGACCGACTCAGAGTGGAGCTCCTGCGGCTGGCTGACAGGCTGTCTGCCCCCGCCGCCGCGTCCACCGACCCGCCGCCTCCAGAGCCGTCGGTGGCGGCTCTCGGTCACCTGGGCCAGCAGAGCGGTCTACTGGCTGAACTGCAGACTGTGCTGTCCGGCGGCGGTGGGGGCGGCTGCCGCCTGCTGCGGGCCGCCTCTGCGGACGGCCCGCTGCCGGCACTGACGGCTGAGGGGCCCGCCCGCGCCCGGCTGGCGGTGCTGCTGCGGGCCGCCCGCTGGACCGAGGCCGCCGAGATGGCGCTCAGTCTGCAGTTCCTGCCAGAGATGGACGGTGCCACGGACGCGGTGCTGGCCGCGCGGGTCCTCAACAGCGACGGTGGTGAGTAAGCTACACTAACGAGAGCAGTTTGTGGTCGGCACGGCGCCGGCCCAGTCTGCTGTTATTGAGGAAACGATCCTGTCAAATATCAGGATTCAGGCGACTTGTTACATTGAAAAACAAGTCAGTTACACTTTGTCAGCTACAATTTTTATCTTGCGATACCTACTATTATGATAGTGGGGGTTCGCAAGAGTAAAAAAGCGAGCCCGTGAAGTGTGAACGCAGGCGGCTCAGTGTTTCCTAGTCTGATATTGGTCTGGCACGCCGTCAGATGCCGACACCGGTTGGCGGCTGGTGCAGCACATCAGCAGCGAGCGGCGCCGGGCGGCCGTCATCTGCGAGATGGCTGGCCAGTGGCCGCTGCGGCGATGTCTGGACCTGCTGACCGGACTGGACGGGCAGGAGAGCCTGCGGGAGAGGCTGCTGCTCTCTGAGGAGGTAGGCGACTGAAGAGACTGAGGAGCCGATGCTACTACTGTCAGAGATACGACTATGAAGGAGTTGGCCGGGGAGAAACTTCTAAATTAATCTGTCAGGGGTATTGAAAGAGAGGTCACAATGCGAGAAGCTCTTGTCTAGCTTCCTAACTTCCTAACTTCCTAATGCAAATTCCTAACTTTCTGGGAAGTTAGGAATTTGCGTTTGTGAAGCTAAGTTGCCGTAGCGTGCGTTGGTCCCTCTCTGTTTGTGTGGTCGCTGGACGCTGAATCACCCTCCCGCCAGCGGTTCTGTAACCCTCCTTCTCTCTGCGGTTTATACCCAGCTGCTGCAGCTGTGGCGCCAGTGCCGCGGCCCGCCGGTGCCCTGCTGGGCCGAGCTGGAACGACGCTGCCGCCGCCAGCCGGCGCTGCTGACAGAGCTGCTCGCTGCCGCTGGCGCCGACTGCCGACCGGCGCTGTACCACCGCTGGGGCCGACTGCACGGCGCGGATGGTGCAGAGCTGCCGCCGCCGCCCGGACCGTCCGACCGGCTGGCGGCTCTGCTGCGGGAGCCGGCCGCCGCGCCTGTCACCGCTGTGAAACAGGTAAGAAAGCACCCACCGCCTGCGGCTAGTCGTCAGACAGGTGAGCTGATACGGCTCAATGGGGTGACCGCGCTAACGGATAAGTAATTTTGATGTTTTCAACTACTATGCAGCTGCTCTGTACCGCAAACCCTGCCAAGGCTGAAGGCAGTCTCTCTGTGTTTGTAACTGGGTCCCTCTCTGACTGTATACATCGGTCTCCAGCTGCTCCGAACCGCGGACCCAGCCGAGGTGGTCTCGCTGTGCGGCCGGCTGCAGTCGGTGGCCGCCCGCGCCGCGCTGCTCTCCGGACTCTGCGCCGTCCAGGGCGAGCAGCTGCCGCCGTCCCAGTTCGCCCAGCTGTACCGGCACGCGGCCGGGCTGCGCCTGCTCGGTCTGTTGGGCTCCGGCTGGCCGCACTACCAGCACCTGGCCGCCCGGCCCGAGCTGATCGTCATACAGCTCATCTGCAACCAGCACTTCCAGGTGCGTGGCCCAAGGTTGTCACTGGTGTGTCTGGGTGCCAATCTGGAAAAGGAGATGGCTTAGAGTGAAATTGAGCTGGTGATGGCTGTTTTCAATGTAAGAGCGAAGGAAGTGAACTTAAGCGCTATAGAGCATCGGTTGTAGTGACTGTTGACTAGTAATATCTGACAATGCACGCCTCCGGCCACCCGGCAGACGGCGGGCCGCGCGCTGCGGCTCCTCTGGCGGCTGGGGCTCATCACTGGCTCGGTACAGTCACCCTCCGGCGGCCGCTCCGCCTCCGCGCCGGGCCGGGCGCGGCCGCCGGACCTCCCGCACCCGGTACCGCCGCTGGACGCTGCCGTGAACGGCTGCCTGGAGCGTCTGGCCGAGCGGGCGCTGGACGTCAGCCGTCTGCCGGCGCCGCCGCCGCAGCTACCGCCCTCGCTGCCGCTGGCGCCGCCGCCGCCGGCCGCCGCGCCGCGCCACCACTGGGCGGCGGACCACAGCTCTAATGGCTGCATGCGCTGCGGGGCGGCGTTCAACGCGCGCTTCCGGCGCCACCACTGCCGCCGCTGCGGTAAACTCGTGTGCGAGCCGTGCAGCAAACACCGCGTTCAGGTGAGTGCAGGTGGGGCTGGTCGTGGCGGACGGGAGGCCGGACTGAAGTTAATTGTGTTCTTACTTTGCATGGCAAAGTGAGAACACTTGGGTCCCTGATGGGGCGGTTGTGCACTGATAACGTGCATAATGAATGAAATAAGAATAGATGTCTGCATAAATCAGAGTGTGACATTATATGCTCTGCGGGTCGCCAGCATTCACCCATGTCTGTTTTTCTACAGCTGGACGGCTGTGGCCCGGCCCCGGTGCGAGTCTGCTCCGTCTGCGTGATGGCCGTGTCGGAGCAGCCCGGCGGCGATCAGCTGTCGCCGGATGACGTCACACGGGCGTGAGTACCGTCCTATGGGATCCCGGCCGACTGGGCAGCTGCAGGGGGCATGACGGGCTTTGGGGCGGTAACGCTGCTGAGGTACTGTACGTAAAGCTTGGGCAATGCTTTTTTGGAGGCTAATATCCAATTAACTTACGATGCACTTTGATCTGTCAATAACAAGCGAGGGTTATCACGGGAGCGTTATCAAGTCGACTCACTGCGACCTGTGTGCGGTTCCGGTAATCCGGTGTGTCGCCGCACCGGCCTGACCTCCCCGCCGGCGTGCCTGCAGCCGGGAGCCGTGCTCTGCCGGACCGCCGGCGCTGCGGCTCACCGACAGCGCCGCGCACAACGTCCGCCAGCTGGAGCGGGTGCAGTTCGGGCACGCGCCGTCCGTCTCCACATGTCTGCTGCTGCTGCAGCTGCACACAGACGCGGCGGCCGGCGGCCGGCTGGTGCTGCGCGCGGCGCGCCAGCTGCTCTGGCAGCCGCCGCCGGCCGCCGCCGCCCACCCGGCGCTCACGGCCGGCCTGGCACGACAGCTCGCTCTGGCCGCCAAACTGCTGCTGGCGCGCGCCGAGCGGCCCGCAGAGGAGATGGCCGCCTGTGACGCGCTGCTGCGCGCCGCCGACGTCAGCCGGCTGCTGGAGGAGGCCGGCTGCGGCGAGCTGTCGGCCGGCGCTGACCTGTCGGACCGCGCCGCGTTGCGCCGCCTCCAGGCCGCCATGGTAGGCCGAGAGCTGTGGCGGCCGGCGCTCGACGTCTCTACTAAGGCCGGCCTGGACTGCGGCGCCGTCTGGGCCGCCTGGGGACTGGCCACGCTGCGCGCCGGCGAGCTGGCGGCGGCGCGACCGCGGCTGGCGCGCGCGCTGCGCCCGGCCGCCGAGCCGGACCGGCGCCGCGAGCAGGCGCGCCTGCTGTCGGCCGTGGTGGCCGCGCTGGAGGCGGTGCCGGCGGCGGCGGACGCGGCGCCGGCCGCCCTGCTGCGCGCCGAGGCCGAGCTGGCGGAGATCTGCGCCGGTCGGCTGCCGACCGTCGGCGGCGCGCCGCCCCCGGCCGCCCTGGACGAGGCGGTGTATTATCTGAGCACGTACGGCAGCGCGCGCCAGACGCTGTCACTCCTGCAGCGTCACGGCCTGTATGGCCGGGCGGCGGCGGTGGTGCGCGAGCTGACCGTGCGGCCAGAGGACTTTCACCGGGCGCTACTGGTGCCGGCCGTGCGGTGCGGACAGCTACAGCAGCTGCTGGACGCCCTCAGGAAGGACAGCCCCTCCCTCAGAGGCTGGAAGGTGGGTGGCTCCGGTACCGGCAGCTGCGGTAGCATACTGTAAAAATGCTGAACTGGCGCGCCTGCATCGCTATCGGGAATCGCTCTAACACGTTCATATTCCACCACAGCTGTGATTTAACGGCCGCTTGCTTCTCTCGCATTGCATTTCTGACAAGCCTTTTGATTGTTTTACTTTTTATAATGCTAAGGATGCGAAGAATTATGAATGTTGAGCACGTCTGATTGTACTCCATTTCCGCGTAAATACTGGTTTCGTCTCGTTGCACTCGCCGACATGTCTTTGACGTGTCTCTGCGGTGCAGGTGTACCTGGAGTTCAGCTGCGCGGAGCTGCAGCAGTCGGGCGCGTGGCACACGCTGCTCCAACTACAGCTGGCCTGTGGGGACCTTCTGAGGGCGGCCAACACCTGCATCCGAATCTACTGCCGACAGACCAACTATCGCTGCTACGCGCAGGTAAAATTGACGGACGCTACGCCCTTTATCTTAATTGGTACGAAAGGAGGCTAGCGAAAATGGGTCAAGCCCTACGAGGCGCGCTTTGCAACCTAAAACCGCTAGCCGAAGCCGTTATTGCGTTAAAAAATGAATGTGGTTTCTATCATTTTACCATACTACATATTTTCATGATTAATACGCGCCTCATTCTGCTGTGGTCATTGCATATACCGCATGCTGACGACTCCCCGTTCCGTTTCGTTTTGTTCTCCGAGCAGTCTCTGCACCATCTGGAGGCGGCCCGGGACCGGCTCAGCGAGTACCTGAACAGAGCCGACTGGAAGGCCGCCCGCGCCCCATCCGGACGCATGCCGCTCGTGTTGCCATGGAAACAGGTGTCGCAGCAGCTGACTGCCGTCGAGCTACAGATTCAGGTGGGTGATTGGTGGCACTGGCTGAATTCAGAGGGTTCTTGGCGGTGACGCGTTGGAGACTTGTCCGGGGCAGTAGAGGATGTTTTTGTTTCATGGCGTTTATTCAGTCACCAATAAAGCTCAGCTCATTGACTGCATGCACATCTCTTTACACAGCAACAGCGACATGTTTACAAATCGGCTCAATGGTGTGGTTTTATAAAGCATCGCGTTTTGCTATTCACAATGTAATAACTACATGCTTGTTTGTGCACCGTAATATATACAGCGTGATCGTGACGCATTGTACACTGAGCTAAGTATGTACTTCCATGTTTTTTTTTTAACCACTAGTTCCGCTAAACGGATCACCCGCTTGGTTTCCCTGAAATAAGGCTCACTTACTGAGCCATCACTCAAACGGTTAGACTCCAGTGTTGAGCAGATCCATCGCAAATTCGTACCGCTGTTAGATGACACATAGATGCCTGACTCCGTCTTCTCACTCTGGTTTCGTGGTGGGTGCTGGGTTAGTGCAAACTTGAGCGACCCGCCACTGCAGGCCGTCAGTGCTCAGGTTGTGACGCGCCGCCTGCTCAGTAAGGGCTGTGTGTGGTCGTCGCTCCAATCGTGCTGTCGGTGTTAGTCGGCAGTGGTCTGTTCAGTAGGAGCTGTGTGTTGTCGGCGCTCCGATGGTGCTGCCCGTGGCAGTGGTGCTGATTGGTGCCGTGGTGCTGTCGGTGGCAGTTACCGCCTGTTCAGCAGGAACTATGTGTGGTCGGCGCCCCGGTGGTGCCGGCGGACGGTGTCGCGGTGGGCGGCGCGGTGGTACCTGCCGCGGTGACCTCCGGCAGGTAGATCTGCTGCCCGATGAAGTTGCCGGCCGGGCCGTAGTTGCAGAAGTAGGCCCGCTTGGGTAGGTTGTAGAAGTCCTTGTCGACCGTCTCGGTGTAGCCGCAGCCGACCAGTGTGGTGCTGGCCCAGATGACCTGGGTCAGGTGACCGATGACCTGACCCGACACGGGGTCCGTGCCCTGCGTGAAGGTCAGATTCGACTGCTGGAAGTGCGGCAGCTCGTCATGGAACCACTGTCCGATGGCGCGGCCGGTCCAGTTCTTGGCGTGGCCCCAGGTCCAGGCGGCGTTCTGGCCGACGGCGAAGCGCGGCACGGCGCGGCACTGGTCGTGCGACTGCTGGCACTGGTCGGCCCACCGCTGAGCCACGGTCGCCAGCTCGGCGTCCCAGGCGAGCGGCGGCATCTCGCTGGCGGCAGGCAGGTTGTTGGACGCGTACTTCCCGGTCCGCATCGCCTCACGGATCGTGTTGTGAGCGGCCAGGATCTCTGAAATATCTGCGGCGCTGACGGTGCTGGCGGCAGTGTTCGGCTGACTGCAGCTGGACGACGGGCCGGCGCTCGGGTACATACACATGGTGTGCTGGGTGCCGGATGGACACGTCACACCCGTACAGTAGTTCGTACCGGCGGCGGCGGCTGAGGCCAGCAAGCAGCCGGCTACCAGGAGAGAGATGATGTGGGACGAGCAGACCATGGCGCTGACTAGAGGCTGCTGACTGAACTGCTGAACTGCAGACAGGAGACTGATACTGGCTGACCGTTGGACCCCGCTTATAAACCCCTCCGGCTCTACCGGGTCAACCCTGTGAGATAGCACGTGTGGCACGGACTCTTGGCTAGGGCTCGACTCACACGTGTCAAGTTCACACTCATGTGGCCTGCGCGCCGTGCTTAGTTCAGACTGATTGTTGCCAGCGGAACGGTATACGGCTGGTAATGGAGCGGGCCGCAGTATCTGGTGCAGCCGCCGGGATACTGCGGCCTGTTTGCGTGACAGGTGGGTGCCGGGCCGGGGGACACGTACCGCTCGCCATTATAACTCCCACCGAGATGTCAGTCAGCTGAGACCGGGCTGGAGCATTCACTGACTGTCATACACGGCTGTCAGATGAATGGGTTAGACAGATGCGGTAGCGAAAGCCGTTTATGTGGTTCCGAATGCCCGCTTGTTCAGGGTAATCAATGGCAACGTTATTGCATGGGTTGATTGATATGACCTAGATTCGATAAAAATGATCGTACTGAAATTCTGAATGAGGGTAGTAGGGGAGACCCGGGAGGTATGGGCCGGTTTTGTGAAAAGGCAATTTTCTTCCAGTGGGCAGTGGCTAGAGCCGGTTTTTCACTCTGTGTACGTGAAATTGCCTTTGGCCTGCAAAGTGTGCCTGATATTAGGCATCTGGGATCAACTATTTTGTCTCGAGATAACTTTCAATAAATAATGTGCTTTTTCGATCCATCAAAATACGCCGGGAGGTATGGGCCATGGCCCGGGAAGTATGGGCCGGTGACATGTTTCATATTCTTTTCTCGACAATGAGAACAATACTCGTAGCAGGTATCTACCTTGATCTCTCTTAGAGCCCAGGAACCGCAAAAGCGGCCAACAGCTTACTTCATTGGAGGTCACTTGTGCACATATGTATTTTGGTAAACTCAATCATGCACCATGAAATACAATTAATAATATTTTTCTGTTCGAATGAAATTTGAAGTTAAATTTTCAACCTTGCGCGACAAAAATAAAACATATTGAAGATGACACTCAATGAAAGCATCTTTTTATTGAATTATGCTCAACGGGGGTGGGTGGCCCGAACCTCCCGGTTAGAACGTCAGAATTTGCGTAGCATCTCAGCTCATAATCTTGCAAGAAAGCTTCAAATTGTGTATTCAGTCTTTATTTGCATGCTTCAAACTTTATGTTAGCATTGGTCTGACATCATAAAATGAGCCTGGTTCAAATTTATCGCGAATTTTCTTTCTGTGCAGTATTTTACTCGAAGAGGGCAAAAACGCTTTATCACCGCTCATTGCCAAAGAAGACTGAGGAAGATTTTGAAAATCGCGTGGGTTATATAACGGAATGGCTGCTACCAGTTTACGCAGTCAAATGTGTAAAAATACGCAACACTTCTTCAAAACTGCGATGGCCCATACCTCCAGGGGGCCCATACCTCCCGGGTCTCCCCTACGGCAGTTATATTTGAGGTTGCAAAATCGGTTACATTTTGACATTTTGAGGCTAATTCGAGGACATCCGCGTAAAAGAGCCCACGGTTTCCGACATTTTGGTGCTTTGTAGTGTCTCTAACTCTGGCGCGGCTGCGCCAGTTCAGGTGCGCTGCGACCTTCGCTGCACTTAACTGCCGCTGTACCAGGTCAGGTAGGCTGTGGCCGCCCTTGCACCAGTTCAGGTGTGGTACATTCATTTGTACTTTGGTACTGTTGGTTCTCAGCCCCTACTTCTGACAAAAGGTCTTTTAGATTACCTTTAGTAGGCTCTTGCGTGCTTGACCTATGCGCGTTGGTCGCTGGATTCCGCCCGAACGTTCGAGAGCAAACGTGTGACAGCCGTTTCATCGAAATTCCCGAGCATTTTATGTCTGGTTTAGCGTAGGAACCATGGGTGCAAGGGTGCAGCTGCACCCACAATATTTCTCCAGTGGGTGCAGACAATGTATTCTGCACCCACAATAATCTGAACCAAAAACCCCTTTTCTCATCAACACTACATCCCATGCAGCACGGCAAATTCAGGATATGTTGCCCACTATCCATCTTTCGAAGCATTTGCTATTGTGATAGTCTTCAAAACTTACATTTGTGCTGAAGAAAAAAGGGAAATGGAGCATGTGATTGAACACATACCAAACGGATGACCCACTGTCAAAATTTTTAGCCCGATATCTTCGAAAATGGCTAAGTTGGCCGCTTTTACTTTTTGCGGTTGTCAATATTGACAATATTAACCCTCGCAGTGTGCGGCGTTTTCCAGCTTCTAATGTGTAGGAGGAGTGGGGGGGGGGGGGTCGGTTGGACCCCCCTGCCGTTCGGCCCCTGATCGAGCTAGAGCTTCGCGGAATAAACGAGGGTGTTGCCCGTGACGAGAGGAAGCCGATGATACCCAATTTTAAGGTCCTAGGTCATCGGTTGACCTTCCAGGTCAGTTCAATGTTCCAAAAGTCGGGGAAATCGGGACCTGCTAGAACTGCGTAAAGTGAAGCTGTTATCGGGTTTTTCGGGGTGCTGATCACGAATATCATATTAGTTTTGATTGATCACAGATGATTTCTTCATGCATTTAGGCAAGATCGGGTCAGGTCAGGTCAGGTCAGGTCAACCATTAGGCGTCCTATCGGCTATCCATTGTAGGTGTCAACTACCACTGACGGCGTCGTAGCATGTTAAGAAGGCACTAAAACTACTTCGTAAACGTTCAAATGGATGTTAAATTAGAAATCAGCCCGAAAAACTACCCTAGAAACATGTAAAACTCGAAAAAGTGAACCGAGGTCATCAAAGGTCAATGACCTGACCTGACCTTCAGGTGACCTTCACACCCACCGTGATGCATGGGACGAACATCATTTCACATGTTTGAACGTCTACAATCACAAAAAGACTGGAAACGCGCGGATAATGTGAGCTGACATACGCCAAATCGCGATTCCGGCCGAACATGGTCTCGAGAATCAGGTCACAGGTTAAAGGTCTTTGGGTCAGGGTCATGAAATTTTCAGAGTAGGTGTAAAACTGATCAACTCGAGGGTACTTGAAGTTTCGTCGCGGTCAGCCGCTTTTTGCGCGAGTTATTTGCGAAAAACCATGGGGGGTTCATCCGACCCCTTACACATGCGAGGGTTAATGCTTCCAAATGCACTTATCGGTCGGTACCTTTTCGACATGGTACACCCTCAAAGCTTGTAACGAGCCTTCGTTCGGATGTCGCTCCCTACCCCCCCCCCCCCCACCCCCCACCCCGCTTCACCGGCCATGGCTGGATTTCTGCACCAATGCACCCACAATGTTCCAGCCGTTCCTACGCCCATGGTTTAACACGCTTTATACCAACCACTGGTCCACGTCTGCCCCAACATTGACCAGCCTTCTGACCAGACTTCTTTCTTGTCCGCTTCATGGCCAGGTTTTGCCTTCTGGCTCCCCGTCTAGCTGCCCCAGTTGCTGACCTGACCTGTCCTGGGTAAACCGATTTGACCTTTTCGCATGTGACTTGATTCACGCCCCAATGCGCCTGAAATAGCGTCAAGTCACGCTAAAACGCTAACTACCTCTCCGCAGGTGACTCGTTTTCTGAGCGAGCCGCGGCACCTGAGCGAGCAGACGGCTCTCTCGGAGGAGCCGGCTCCCACGCTGCTGGCCGGGCCGGACCAGCGGCGCCGGCTGGTGGTCACACTGCTGGCGGCAACTACCAGCGTACCGGACGCCCTGTGCCTGGCGCACCGGTGAGTAGCAGAGGGAGGCGAAGGGCGGACAGGGTGGAAACAGGTGGCTTGTGGGAGATGGCGTGCGGATAGGGAAATTTGTCAGCGAGGCTCTTGCTACGCTCTTTAATGGCGGATTTTACCGCATGATCGTTTGTGCTAAATATTACCTTGATTTTACAATTGCTATGATTTGAAGAGGCATTGATGTCCTTTACTTTTTTCGATTTGTGCGATCATTGACTCTCCATGTGTTTGATATTGCCGGTGCGTTCTTCCCGGCTGCCGTCCGATGCGTCATGCTTGGCGTTTCCCCGCCGCGACCCGTCACCCAGACCGCTCTCACCGCCCCCCGGCAGGATCGAGCGCTCGCTGGGCGTGGAACTGGGAGAGCTGGTGCCGGCCGTGGCCGAGCGGCTGGTGGCGGCCGGCCGCTGCGACCAGCTGCACCAGCTGCTGCAGCTGCTCATGGACACCACGCAGCTGGGACAGCAGACGCTGCGCCGGCTAGTGGCGCTGCCGCCGGCTGGCCACCCGTGTGTGGGCCTGCTGCTCACCGCCATCACCGAGCCCACCGTCAGGGTACGGTGATGCTACGATATGGTGGGGTAGGATGGAACCTGGCGGGGTAGAGCTGGAACTGGTTGGGCCGCGGAAAGCCCCGGGGGTAGGGTGGAGCCGGGGGTTGAGGTGGGCTGAGGTTTGGACCCGGAGGGCAGTGACGCAAACAAACGCAGCTGTACGGTCAGATCTAGGAGTGGATGGTCGGCTCAGTATTTGGAATAGGTGATGGCAGCTCAAGCCGGCTTCTCCCTCATTGCCTGTGTGTTTAGTGATCTATCGTTTCTGCTACTGTGACATGCGGTGACGATGATCGTAACTGTGGTTCGTGTTTCCTTGTTCCAAACCAGCTGTTCTGGTGCTTCAGCTGGAGGCGCTGGTGCAGTGTCGCCGCTACAAGGAGGCCTACATGTTGGCTGCCAGCCGGCGCCGGCCTGCCGAGGTGTCCGCCGTGCTGACAGGTGCCGAGGGGGCCGGTCAGACCACTGTGGCCACCATCTGCCGGCGCTGGCTGCAGCGGCACGCGCCGCACCTGCTCTCACAGACGGCTGATCGGACGGCGGATTCTCCGCCGCCCTCCAGCGTGGCGAGCTCGCCGGGCCCGGCCACAGACCTGGCGTCCGGTGGCTCACCGGCTGGTAGCTCCGCCGGGACCTCCACTGGCGCACCGACTCCGGCCGCCGGCTGTCGCTGAGACCAGCCGTCCTGGATCCTTTACTGTTCAGAAGGGTCGCGGCAGTTTAGAGGCAGAGGAGGCTGTCCCTTGTTAGGGACGGCGACGACGAACAGGGACCGATTACTGACAGCATTGCATTTGACACCGACCCAGTCTATCTTCTCCGGCCGGTCAGTCGACGTTTTGTGAGCCGCTGCCGGGGGTTGTCACAGACGCCTGGCTGACCGGTACGATAGTGTCCCGTTGCTGCGGGGCTGGGCGAAGCACAACGATGGTAATTCAGGACGGGCATTGGACTTGGCTGTGAATGTGCCAGTTTTTTGTATGCGCTCTGCTTTAACGTTCATTTAGGGATTCAGTAGGGAACTATGTATCCTGTATTATCCATAACCCGTGGGACAGACCGTAATCTAAAATATGTATCTCGTTTATTCAGTGTCACGTGTTGATAGCCTAGGTCTTTCAGCTGGTTTACCCTCATCCACAGCAGATCAATACGTTTCTGAACTATGCATGGCTAAGAAACTTTAATTGTTACTCTTACAGTATCATTCTAGCGTCGTCTTTGTTCAAATATGTTTTCTCAGGAGCGGCATTATACGATGGCAGTCGCATCTTTCGTGCGTCCTATTGCTGCTAATCACACATTGCTCGCATAAATAGTGGCTTTCATCTGACTTGTGTAGATTGTACTTGATATGGTTCCTACGGTATTGTACGACTGGGCTTAACACTTGGCTGTGTATGAATCCGGAGCGTATTTCGTCAGTGTCAGTAGTTTTCTTGGACACCTGTAGCTTTAATTGCTCAGATCGGGTGCTCGATTTTTCGGCAAATAGTACATGTTTCTTGCAGGCCTGTGTTCGTTCCCGAAACATCTGGGTTTGAGGTAGAATCCACGTTGGATCGGCCACATGTGACAGCCGCTGGTCGGCTGACATTGCCGAAAGATGACAATCCTATGAACGGTCGATTACGGAAACGCATGCGATTGGCCGCAATATGTATCCAAATGTGGACCAAAGCACTCAGTTGTGTGTCTGTTGTGGGGTGCCATAGTACTCAGCTGTGGGCATATTTATACTTTCTGCTATCATATTTTTGTATAAAGTGTGTTTTGTAAGGATTGCAAAGAGTGCACGTGTGGTACCAAATATAAAGTAAAGAGCATCCAGCGTCATATTCCTTTGTACGAATTGAGTGTCCGTTGAACATCATTATGCATATATCGTGAGAGGTGTTATACGGCAGTATGGCGCGAGAATTGTGCTCGATTGACGAAAATGTCGACAGAACAGCAGCGAGCATTCGCTGACATGCGGGTATGTGTCGATTTAGACGATTTTGTTCTTAAATCCGTTGAATGGGCCATTGCTTTTTGGGATGAACTTCTATATGTATGGTATTCATGTTGATTCCTTTTTGTGACGGACGATATGCCTTCTGTCTTACTATGAAATATGTGGCAGCATTAGGAACAATGTAGACCGATGGCCGATAAACTTCATGACTGTGATATTCCCGAAGCATGGACAATCCTACGAAGCCACCTGCAGAAGGAATTGGTTGGAGACTTGATACCGATACCCTTTGTTACCGAAGGAGATCTGTACGACCTTTTGACCGTCTTCTACAAACAGGACGACGGAAAGGTACGAGAATCTTCTTTCTCTCTTCCCTCCCTCGTATCTTCTGTCCTTCACTCACTTCTAGCTGTATGTGTACAGTCAGATAGTTTTCTGTGTGTGCCGGTGGGACTGCCTGTCGGCGTACTATGTCCATCTGACGGTACCCCTGCCGTCCGTACCGCCCTCAGGGTGTGCTGTCGCGACTGACCCGGCCGCGGCAGTACGAGCTGCTGGGACCGCTGGCCGGCCTGGCTGACCTGGCGCACTCCAACCGAGCGGAGCTGGAGGCCTGCGCTCGACCCCATCTGGAGGAGCTCGACTTCCCCGCCCAGTACACTGTAAGGCATATGCACCGAGGCAGGAGCATAACAGCTCGGGAAAAAGTCATAGAACCGCCGATTATCTGCGTCGCCGGCATTTAAAACAGATTTATTGCAAGATTTATTTGTTTTTCCCCTAGGTATGTCCCTATGTCTATGATTACATGTACCTAAATAATCAGCAGATTCATGTATATTGTCATGATTGTATTTCGGTAATGCGTGTCATATCCATCGATATTCATCAAAACAGCATTACCAGCATACCCGTTCTTGCGGGTGAATGGCTTTATGACGTGCGAATTGATAGTCCTATTTGCGTTTCCAGTGCGATTTGTACGGTAAATCCGGTAAGGAGATCCACCTCATTGTGAAGCAGCCACACAAGAAGGTGGTGCTTCTGACGGCGACTCAGCCGGGGGACATTGTCATCGACAGGTCGGCGCACCCGGGTAAGCCGCCGCCGCACCAGAGCGCCGACCCGGGTCAACTTGACGCACTCTGGGGGAGGGGAAATGGGGTATGTAACTTCTTAACAGGTCTCGGGTGCATATGGTTTCCTCTGGACAGGGACACTTTGGCAAGACGCGAGCTCTTAGTCCTGACTTCACAGATGAGATGACTATGTAGATCTGACTAGTGAGTGGTATCTATAGCACAAGCTTGGGACTTCTGCAGTTCGGATACGTTGCCGTATACAAGGGAGGGCTTGTATTGAATACACTGTCCGTTTGTCGTTTCTGGAGCACATTGACTGATTCTAGGTCCTGCATCCGCTGACTGACTGCGTGCCTGTGTTCCCTGCAGCGCTGCAGTACGTTGACCGCGTGTACCTGATCACTGAAGTGGTGTACTCGGCCGGCGTAGACCTGGTGGTCTCTGCCGCCGGCCGCACCAAACAGTACTTCTCAAGTCGCGTGCTGCCGCTGGCGTTCATGTACCAAAAGTTCCCCGTCGACGAGTACGGCGCTGTCGGCACGGAGGTAAGTTGAGCACCATCCCCCTCGAGCCAGCGGGACGACTGCTCTTCCTTTTTGAGCCACCCCCACCAACCCTGCCATAAGTCAGCTGCAGTCGATCTTCCTTCCAAGTCAGTTGACCGGCATGCTGGCTCACTTCTGTGATAATACAATTACACATTAGTCAGGAGACATTCGGCTTCTTACTTGGCCATTTGATCGCAAGGGAAAGCGGGCTCACCAAGCTCATTCCTTTCGTGTTTCATTGCAGGTGCCCTCTGGCGGAGATATGAAGAAGATGAGTTTCGTCCAGGTGCGCCGGAGCCGCCGGCCGGACGACCCTCTGCCGGAGGCACCCCGGACCTCGATATCGGCCCGATGGCAGCCGGCGGCGCGGCGCAGCCCACGCGACGGTCTGCCGCTGCTGCCTGCCGCCGCGCCCGGCACCCGCGGGCCGCTGCCGCCCCTGCCTCCCGACTGAGCCGTGCTGGGGATATGATGCATCGAACAAATATCGTATTACGTTTTGATAATAAAATGTGTGACAACCTAACACGTCTCAGTATGCATTTAGCCGATATCTTGATAGCTCGAGACGTTCTGTTGGAGCATAGATTGTGGGAGCGATGGGCTGATTCGCTAAGTGAATCGTAAATGGACACACTGCTCGAAACTTCGGTACTTTGAGATGGCAGGTGCATCTTTTGCTGTCCTTTCCGTTGTGAGGCAGGGCGCCAAGGGTGGGTCACGGAGTCCCTGTTCGTGACTCCCTTTTGAAGCCTCCCGATCAATATCACCTCCGTCGCCTTGCCTCCGTCCAACACTATTTGCCCATAGTCAATCTCAGTGCACCAGAGTCAGGGTATTACGCTGAGTCGTATACCTAGGTGGCGGAGACGACTGTTCATCGGGGAAAATTCAGTGTGGTAGTGTACCCAGACGATTTTAGCGAAGACATTACGACATGGTGGCCAGAAGCATGAGTAAAATATATCCGAGCACCTATAACAGTGTATATATCGTCTGCCGCGCCGGCTCGAGCCTCCAAGCCTTCACTACTCACGAACAACTCACGAACCCATCGAATTCGAGCCTGCAGCAAATAAACAGCGGATTTGCGGATATCAAGCAGCTGTCAGTTTGGCGGACGTGTGCCACGCGCGTTTCGCGATATTCAATGACCTTGAACGTCGAAATCGACAACACAATTTGCGCAGCGTGTTGTTCCGTGTGCATCTGCGTATTATAAGTCATAAATAATACATGATGCAGCTTTTGCAAGGTTAATTTCAATTTATACGCTGTGGCTCCACTTTGGCTCCACCCAGCAAAATACCTTCTTTTATATTCTTATGCACCGCCACCGTGGGCATGTAAAAAAGCACAAACTGAAACGCCGTGGAAGCAATGAAAATTTCAGCTAACGTCAAGCATCAACCCTCGGCCCTTAAGTATTTGTATAGTCTTAAGTGGAATGCGCATGGACTCTGCAGAGCTCAATAATTTGATATTTATATTTTGCTCAGACCCATGGTATTTCAATTTTGGCATTAGTAAAGCAGACGTCTCTAAGGTTTTGCAACTAAGGAGAATTGGAGATGTGCTATCGGCTCGGCTATACCCTGAGATCAATTTCCTCATTTGTGAAACCAGCAGAACAGCTCTGCAACCTTTTTTTGGTAAAGTTACATAATAAAAACTGGACCTCTATTTTTGGGACGACGGTGAAAACAGGGCGCCTGGGGCGATTTGATCAAGGTTCGTGAAATTCACACGTGACGTTTGGCATGTAGAAGGCCCACGGAGGGGGAGAAGCTCCAAATGTCACGTGACTAATATGCCCTCCGGCGCCCTGTTTTCACCGGCGTCCTATTTTTGGGCCTTCAACCTAACCTCAGAGGCTGAGTCATAGATGTCAGAGATGGACACTGGTGGACCTGAGACCACATACTAGGCCTAGGTATGCCCATATGACATTTTCTTTCAGTGGTGTGCATTGTATTTTTTTCCCAAAATGATAGGTATGCTTATTGTGAAAATTGAAATTGACTGGAGAGGAGGGTGCCGCCTTCTCCCTTCACCTTAAGCCATCAGTACAAAACTGATGGGTCAGTCAAGCTCTCTGTGTTTAGTGTCAACACTGTTTCCCAAAAATGTTTTAGTAAGTAGTACAAATTTTAGTTAAATAAAGCAGTTATCACTAACAAAAATGAGGCATCACAGTCTTGTATGTGCAGCTTGGACACATCAATGTCTGATTTTGTGTTTGTTTCAGATCATTTGATGCACACATGCCTTAAAACACACCAACAGGCAACTGAATCACAATTTGGTATACAATCAGCAAGCCAACACAGAATATAGAAGAATCACTTTTGATATTTTTTCATGAGCTCATTGAAATTGGAGCCATGAGTTCTTCAGACTCTTCAATCACACAGGTGAGTAGCAGCTGGTGTGTGATGCTAGCACATAGGAAAGATGTTTGTTATGTGCCTTTCTCTCAGTCAGTGGTACCTACTTGTTGCTGAACATATTTTGTAATTATCCAGTGGTCTTATGGTTCTAAAGCTGCATTTACTCCATTGCTCCTTATCTTCAGTATACCTGCTTGGACATTGCTGAATTCAAAATTTTGGCTGTCTGAGATGAGTTTTTGGAGACAATGAATGAGTTTGGTCAGGACATTGGTGTAGCTCACTGAAAATATTCTTAATGTGATGTTAATAGTTGATTTTATCAATGCATACTTGCCAATTGCTTCATCAAAAGGACCTAATAAAAGGGATTGACCCCATTCAGCATGCAGTTATGCTAATTTGTCAAAAACCTTGCTTAATTTGACATCATTGACCTGACCATACTCTCTCAAATTATGGTCTCAAGCTAGCTGTTGTCGCCTCAGTCTGTCATTTGGTCTGTGTGTCGCGCTGTGTGCACTGTGCCCGGTGACGGTCGGTCGGTGAGGGTGCCGTGCTGCCCCGTGCCCAGGACCGGGACCAGCCGGCGGCCGGCGGCAGCTCGGAGACGCTCCGCAGCGCGGCCACCGCCCGGCTGCTGGGCGCCGAGCCGGGCGCCGAGTTCGCCCAGTTCGTCGACACCACGCTGGCGCGCTACACCGAGCTCAACGACCAGCAGCAGACGGCCTTCCTGGAGAGTCTGATCGCGCACAGCCAGCCGCGCCAGCGCTGGTACATGCTGCACCGGCTGCCGTCGCTGCTGCTGCGCGACTTCCTCACACTGCTGCCGGCCGAGATCGTCGAGCACATGCTCTCGTACGTGGACGGCGCCAGCCTGCTGCGCTGCTGTCAGGTGTGCCACGCCTGGAACCGGATCATCTCCGGCCTGCCGGCGCTGTGGCGGCAAAAGTGCCACCTGCTGGGCACGCGGACCGACCTGGGCTCGATCGACCTGGAGGCGGTCGGAGGGTGGAAGGAGCTGTTCCTCTGCACACAGCGGACTCTGTGGCGGATGAAGACGCGGCAGGCGTTCGAGAAGGTGTCTCTGAAGCTGCCGGCTGAACACGGCGGTAAAGTGATAGCGCTGGACCACCACGGCGATCAGCTGGTGGCGGCCAGCGAGCTGTCGCAGCTGTTTGTCTGGCGACTCAGTGAGGAGCAGTGTGTGCTGACGTTTTCAGTGTTCCTCCACATCTCGTGTCTCAAGTTCACACAGGGTAAGTTCGTTGTGTGCGGCCACTATAACGGCCAGCTGTCGTCGTACGATATCTCGGACACGGCCGGCGACCCGGAGCGCGTCGAGAGGCTCCAGGAGCGGCTGCGGCGCGCCGCCTCTCCGGACGAGCCCGAGGAGCGCAGTGAGGCCGCCGCCCGGCTGCTGCGCCGCTTCTGGGTGCACAGCGGCCCCGTGTTCTGCCTCGACTACTCCGAGGAGCTGGATATTCTGGTGAGCGGCTCGGCGGACAACACGGTGAAGATATTCAGCCTCAGCTCGGGCCTGCTGCTCAACACACTGCCACGGCACAGCCACTGGGTGGTACGGGTACTCCTGAGGACGGGTCTGCAGCTGTCACCGGCCGCCGACGCGCCGCCCGGCCGGCTGCTCCTCACCATGACCCGGGACGAGATCCAGGTGTTTGAGGTGGAGAACTGTCCGCCGTGGCTGGGCGCCGAGCCGTTCAAGTCGCTGCGCACGCCGCGGCTGACTGTTCCACTGGCGGAGACCCAGCGGCCGCAGCCCGGCATGCATATCCCGTTCTTCACTCCCGGCTGCCACCTACATGGTGATCTGGTGACGTTCGTGCGCCAGTCGCCGCCGACCAACAATAAGATATCAACCGCCTCCATCGTGCAGTACAGCCTGCGACATCGCTCGCTTTCGACCCGTATCGTGGTGAGCTTTAAGGTGAAGAAATTGCTGGCCATCGGGAGACGATACGCCATCCTGTTGGCGCCTTACGCCCAGGAGAGCTGCCCCAACCTCTACTTCGTCAACCTCAACACCAAGGAGGTGATAGCCTCGGAGAAGGTGCCGCACTCTCGGCTGAGCACGCCCGACGCCGCGCAGCTGGCGATGGGCGAGCTCGGCTGGCTGGACGGGTTCGACGGCGAGCCGCCCGAGGGCGGCCTGATCGCCGCCATGGGCACCGAGCTGAGCCGGGAGGTGTTTGTGCTGCGCTGGCGCCGCCGGTGACGCCGCCTCTCGCCCCCGACCCCGCCCCGACCTCGGCCCGGCCGGCAGCGCTGCTGCCGCCTGCTGCAGTACGGCCTGCTCGCCTGCCTGCTGCCGCCGCTGCTGAACCACGCCGCCCTGCAGACGGAGCGACAGCACCTGCGGACTCACGGTGAGGAACAGAAGAATGTACTCTGGATTCACGGTGAGGAACGAGGACCGATACCTGCGGACTCACGGTGAGAAACGGGGAACATCGGCGATTCCACGGTGAGACATGGGCGTAGGAACCTCACGAAAAGTGGGGGGGCCAGCGAAACTTCAATGTCACTTTGTGGGAGCCCCAATACCCCTATGAAGAAATTCTTTGCAGTTTTGTGCTCATCTCACCTTGCTGAATCATTTCCTGCTCTTAGTTTTGTATTTAAATAAAAAATAAAGATTTTACTTTAAAAAATGGCTAAAAAGTGGGGGGGCCATGGCCCCCCCGGCCCCCCCCCCTGTTCCTACGCCTATGCGGTGAGAAACGGGGAAGGTCTGCTGCCAACTCACGGTGAGAACTGGGGAACGTGTTTGGACCGACAGTAAGGAATGGGGAAGGTCTGCGAGAAACGGGGAAAGTAAAAAAGGTGGGTACCTTCCTACCCTACGGAGTTCAGCAGTAACACACGGTGAGACTGGTAACTGTTAAGTGCTATTGCGGGGCATTCTCATGGTAAAATGTCACAAATTTGAATTACGAAGGAAGCTGTAAATTGTGAACACATCTGAGAAACCGAGGTGTATTATTTTCAGACCTTTCCGACAGTTAATCACCTCCAAAAAGATAGCTTGCGTCGTTTCCTTATATTCGGTAAAAACAACTATTTTTTAATTGCCTTGTTTTCCGTAGTATCTCGCTTTTTTGTGCATAAACCCTACCCTGTTGCCCCCAGGTCAGCTGTATGATGTTGGATCTGGTCAGATGATGTATTTCCGGTGTGAGGGGGAAGGAGTCCCCACCGGTAAGACCGCCTACCCGCTTGTGCTAGCATTGTTAGCCTAGCAAGGTTTTATTCGTGCATGTAAATACGTAGCGTTAACGGTGATAACGCACGCTGAATGACGACATTGTGAACAAATATGAGTGATTTAACTCTTTCATGTGCCAATCCTCGGTTGCAATCGTACTTTTCCATCTCTGGACAACTGGGTAGATTTTGACCTGTCGGCACCTACGCTTGCGTCTGTTGTGCATTTAGACATACCCAGCAGCCGGTCGATCCCCCGTCCGTTCCCCGTGTCTGACCCTCCGCCGTCTGCCCGTACCTGACCCGGACCGTGTCCGGCAGTGGTTCTGGACCCCCCTGCCGGCCTGTCCTCGGACGTATGGCTGGCGGTGCTGCCCCGACTCAGTGAGCTGACCCGCACCTGTGTGTTCGACCGGCCCGGGCTCGGCTTCAGCGACAGGTGAGCGGTGTGGGGAGAGACTGTAGACTTTGTGAGAGACCCGACAGCTGTGCGGTGAGAAACTCTATGTGCAATTTGGTGTAGCTGTAACTGTACTCGATAAGCATAGCTGTGAGACTCGGCATTCGTACTTTTTGTGGTGAGAGACTTGGCAGTTGTTAAGCTCGTTAGGTCCGTTATAATAATGTCGTTGCTCTACAAACGCAAACATTGTTCACGTTTGATTATCAGCTGTTCCCTACCAGCATCCTTTGGTTGTGAGTTTTCAGGTTTATAGTCATTCATAGGATTGTTGATCGCTTATCGCGTACTAAGCGGCGGGAGTGGCTCGCCATGAAGCATTACTGGCTTCACTCATTCGGGCTGACTCATTCAGGATGTACTCAACCGGATATACGTTTGAACACATTATGATTCAATTTCTTTTGTGTGGGCTGAAAGATGAACGTAGACATTCAGTCAGACACTGCTATCTGTCACTGTCCTATGCAACTCAACACGCACCTCCATAAAACAAGAAGTGTGAATGGCGCCGGTGGCTCCAGCGACCAGCAGTTAAGGGTATTAGTCCCCGCCAACACGCCGCAGCAGCTCTGCCCCAGACGTATCACCCCAGACGTATCAGACGTATCACCCTCCCTCCCGACAGGCCGATGCCTCCCGGCGAGCGCGACCGGCAGCTGCCCGGCTTCAGTCCGCCGGCGTACACGGCCGGCGGCACGGTGGCCGACCTCCACCGCCTGCTGACCCAGGTGGCGCCCCAGCCGCTGCCGCTGGTCTACGTCGGCGCCGGGCTGGGCGCGCTGAACGCCAGGCTGTACGCCCACCTCTATCCCAGGTATTGGCTTGACGGGAGGACCGGCGCTGGTGGTGGACTGCGGTAGCGGGCACTGTCCTTTTTCTTTTCGACTTTCTTTTTGTGTTAGGTACATACGACTAGGTTTAAAGTTCCTGTTTTCAATTTGTGTTGTTGAAGACTAGTTATTTTTGTATGTTTTGTCTTTTTTTCTTTAAATTGCTTCCATTATTGTGTATGTGTTTACGTAAAGGTTTATCAGCGTGCCATTGACTCGCTCGCTGACCCCTCGTTTCGTCTGCCAGCGAGGTGAGTGACCTGGTGCTGGTGGCGCCGATGACGGAGGAGCTGCTGGCGGACGGCGGCCCGTGGCTGCGGCACGTGCACGGCCGCCTGCTGGCGCCGCTGCAGACGCTGCACGTGGCGGCCGCCACCGGCCTCACGCGGCTGATGCTCATGTTTGGTCTGATGGAGGCGCCGCTCAGCGAGGCTGCCGAGCTGCTCGGGGAGGAGGCCGTCAACAGACAGGTCAGAATATTTTTTGTATACGAGTATGCACAGTGGGCCGCCAGACTTTTTTACATTCATTGATGCATTGCGCAGTGTGTTGGATATTTTATGACTGTGTTACAGCGCTGTTGACTTCATTTCAGCGCCCTTTGGCAATTATGTATATGTGACCGCTAGGATTGCATAGAGCTGAAAGTATATTTTATTGACCTATCGATTTTATGACGATCAGTATTTCATATAAGCTGATGTCGATTGTCGATTGGTATGCCAATTAGTCTATCTTGTTCCTCTGGGTGTCACAGTGCGAACTCTACCCATGACGTGTGCTGACCTTGTTCCCCAACTCCGTCCCCAGAAGCACCTGATGTGCCATCCGCGGCACGCCAGTACCGTGGTGGACGAGCACCATTTCCTGAACGAGACCGCCGCCCAGCTGCGTCAGGCGGGTCTGCTGCGTCCGCTGCCGACCGGCCGGCCCACCGTCACCGTTATCACCGGCGACAGGCACGACGGCTCGCTGCCCGCCGCGCTCAACGACGCCTGGGCGGCTGCGGCGCGGGCGGCCGGCGGAAAACTGGAGACAATCGCTGACGCAGACGGAGTGGCCCTGCCGTACCTCAGACCCGAGCAGCTGGCAGCCAAGATACGGAGGGCGGCCCGCGAGCGACGGACCCGGCTGGCACAGCGCGACGAGCCAGCGGCCGCCGAGGGTCAGGCCGCGGCGGCCGCCGGAGGACAGAGCGCGGCCTCTGCCTGACGCACTGGCTCGCTCCGGGAGGGGCGCCCGCCGACGGAAGGGCGAGGCTGCCGGACACGCCGCACGGCCCGGACGGCTAAGTCATGTCTGGGCAATCATGCCACGGACGACTGTGAGTCGCTGGATTTTAAAGGCTGCCAGGTGTGCGCTGAGGTGCAGGTGTCATGTGTCATGACTCGTCCGTCGGATATCACCGGAGCTGCTTTTCGCGTGATTGTTTCGTTCGGCTGTATGACCATTCCTTTTTGTACCGATTTTTGCCGTTACTGGGACTTGGACGGTCAGCTGCATATGACGGTGCGTGTAGTGGGCAAAGTGGTTAGGTACACTGGCCATTTATCAGCAGCTGCCTGCGTTCGGGAAAAAACTGCACTACCGCGTTAAGTTGATCACGATATTCATCTGCTGTGAGGGTATTACAGGGTGTCGGGGGAGTGCTAGGAACCAGTGGACTGCCGTGATTCGTCAACCGGCAGACACTCGCGGGACAGCTATGTGCGGTCTCGTTTGCGACAGGCTCTGCGGCTGCCGTTACTCACTCGTTACCTGTGTGGTGTATTGCTGTGTAATTTTGGACCGAGCTGATCAGGCTCTCGGCCGATGACTACCACCGGCGTACGGCCCCGGCGGGGCTGGTTGTCCGCCGCGCCGGCGCTCCAGGGCCCGGTACGTAGCGTCCGGTGGTTAGCCGGCCTTCTGGGGAGACTCATTGGGCCTTGACATTCCACGATGGGAGCGGACCATTCCGTGCTTGGACGAGTGCATTCTTTGGCTGTAATACATGCTTGAGTGTGTTACTCAGTGGATCCGAAGCCAGTGTTTACTCGACTTATTGTGAGCCGCCAGTCGGTTGCAACTCAGAAGACGTTTCGAGAGAGAGAGAGAGAGAGAAGAGAGAGAGAGAGAGAGAGAGAGAGAGAGAGAGAGAGAGAGAGAGAGAGAGAGAGAGAGAGAGAGAGAGAGAGAGAGAGAGAGAGAGAGAGAGAGAGAGAGAGAGAGAGAGAGAGAGAGAGAGATAGAGAGAGAGAGAGAGAGAGAGAAAGAGAGAGAGAGAGAGATCCAGGGACAGGTAGAGCCTACTCGTGTCGCGTGGGGGAGGTGGGGGAGGAGGGTGGGTCAGCTGACACCTGAGCCGGGCAGGGGGCGTTTCGGCCGGCCGACTGATCCCGTGTCCGTGTCACGGGCGGTGTCCGGTGACCGGGTAGCGCAGAGTACCGACTGCTAACGCCCCGGGCAGAACAGCCGCAGCTCTCAGTTCGGCGGCGACGGGGAAGAGACGATGGCTGCCGTCGAAGGGCACCGGCTGCTGGCCGCTGTGGCGCTGCTGTCTCTGATCGCAGTCGGACGGGGCAGCACGGAGCGATTGAAGAAAGAAAATGACGACCTAAGGAACCAGGTGAGATAAGGACAGCTGGTTAGTGTGTGGAGTTCCGATTTCCGTTTCGTTATTTACCCGACGATTTCCGGGTCGGGTCTCTCGTGGGTGATCAGTCTGAGGTCTAATAGTGTATCTTGCTGACCCTGACCAGTATTAATCGCTGTCCCCGGCCGGCGCAGGTGGAGTGGCGTCTAAAGATGCGTCACCTGGACTGGCGCGGTCACCCGGTGGCCGGCCGGCGGCCCTTGGGCACCCCGTTCGGCCGGGACGATCTGCTGCAGCTGGAGGACGACGGCAGCGAGGGGGAGCCGCTGGAGCCGGTGCCGCCCGAGGTGGCCGGCGCGGCTGCGGACCTCCTCGACCGGCTGAGAGTGGGCGAGGACGGCGACATCCAGTGGGAGGCCGAGGACGGACGGCAGCCCGCGCGGCGCCGGAGGGACGCCGAGCCGGACCCGGCCGGACCCAGCAAACAGCTGCCCGGCTGGCGAACACCGCGACTGAAACTGGGCAGCGCCGGCACCATCGAGTTCTGAGACCGTGACGCCGTGCTGAGGCTATGAACCCGGTCAAATACACCGGGAAAAGTGGAAAAGGTGTTTTATTTCTGTAACTTTCATAGGACGCCCACGCTGGGGCTACCTGCGGAACGTTCTCACGCAAGGCCAGGAGCTTTTAGAGGCCTTATGACAAGTTTGAATAGAATTGTTCCTTGTTACTCAATGCATTCCATCACCTACTTTTGTTATGTTTGATATTGTTTTTGTTGCTACCATTTTTGTTGTATCGTCGAGCTTATTGTTTCGCAGAAATAAACGTCTTTAGAAACATAAACATTGCATACATCGGAATAAATGTGTTATTGTGGCGCTTCAGATGCAAGAAATACAATGTGGACTCATATTTTGTTACTACCGACAGACATTGTCCACGATTTTTGCAAATGTGCATATCAGTAAAAGAAAAGAGAACTAGGTCTGGCCGAAAGCACTCTCTGACAGCCAAGCTATATTTTAGATAGTTCATATCTAACACTTCAAGATGAAGAAACACCTTGGTCAAAGCACAACCGAATGTTGCAATACACGACAGGACATGCCCCAGCGAGCAACGAAAAGTAGCTATCGTTTCCATTACGACTGAATACTATGATTGGCATTTGCAGGTCGCAAGCAAAACCAAAGCAAAATGTTTTGCGAAGAACCCGCGATCTGCAAAATGCACAATATGTGGGTCTTAACAATGTACCTCACAAATGAAGACACGCGTGTAGAAGTTTCCACCAGACAGCAAACTTCACAAAAATAGGCTTTTTGAAGGCATCATAAGTACAAAACGGCTATTCACGTCAAACATAGCAGGCGACGCTGCTTATCGTAAGGCATCTGCAACAAGGGATGGCAGTAACTGAGACAAACATACACTTGACCTTCAGATCTTTTTTAGGACGGCTCCTACTCGTGTTGCCATGCCGCGTGAATGCAATCGCCATGAAAAGTGTCGTTACGTCGTAAAGCAATAGCCAGATCTATCCGCACAGCGTACTTTGATCATCTCGAGATTCAAGCCAAGGAATATCTCGAACCGCAGCGTGGAAAAAAATCGGCTCTTCCCCGCCGATCAACCATCGATCATCGCGTTCAGCCCGGCAGCCCTCAACCCACGATCACTAACACCCTCGTCTTTTACCGCACTGGATCGCTCCAGCAGCCCCATCCCAGTCATGTGCACTGCGCAGGCCCGTCGGTCCTACTCACTCTCGTCCGATCATGCCGTGCAGTTGAAGCAAGTAGCCAGGAAGTCTTCGAAGCCAATGTTGATGGTGCCTTTCATGGCCGTGTCGCGCGCGCGGAAGGCGTTTGTCAAGTTCTGCAGCTGAATGCAGGACAGGATAAAGTGATCGACAGTGATCTGGCCTGTCTTGCGGATGTCATACTTCTTTAGTACGCTGTCGGCGAATGCTGGAGACAGCCGGTAGCCCATTTCGGCGAACGCTGCCGGAGAGCGGCGGCGATGGTCAACTCAGTGGCAGTAGGAACCGAACAGAGAACGGCAACGACGGGACATGGCGGGCACGACTGAAATGACTGACTAATTAATCGTCGTAGCTAAACTGCTAATTACCGGGAAAACGGTACGTAGCAGTAGCACGCCCCACATTGATCAACAGAAAATTGATCAACAGTCGTCGTCTCCATTTACTCATGCAAATGCCAGATCTGCGTATGCTTCATGCTTGAGAGAATATTTGCTAGAAACTATAACATTGTAGCTTTCTCACTTGTATGTACGCAAACACTTTCTCTATTAAATCGGCCGCAGGTGGTAGTCAAGGGTCGATAAGCCCTCAAAACTGTTCTAATTTTGCTAAAAATATGTAGGATACACCCACACTTTCCAGTACTGTGGCCGCACTCACCCTGCTGAAGCTCCCGACTGTCAATGCTGGATGACTTGTTGGAGTCAAACTTCTGGAATGTGCCGATCCAGGCATTGACGTAGTTGAAGAGGTGGCCAAACTCGTTGAGGTCCACGGTATCGTTTCCATCCTTGTCAAACATGCCTGGAAAGATTTTCAGGTGTGTTGGTTGAAGGAAGAATGTATATTTCCGCATCATAAATGACTGTTAGGTATCATAATGATTCCAATGCTTACATCTAAATTAGGTTTGGTTAAATCACACCATAGAAATATGCATTAGCGCTGTCATGCCATTCTGCTTACGGATCATCATTCTGCAGCAGGCAATGTCAAACTTCTGCCAATTTCCAGAGGAGAGTGCTTGCTGCAGTTCTTCCGCAGTTATCCGACCCGAGTTGTCCCGATCTACCATGCGGAACCACTGGGCTGCTTTGGGATCCACGCCACCTTGAGGAGGGACCTGTAAGTCACAAAAGAAAAAATGTCAATCACAAGACTAACCATACTGATACCTATTAACTACAGGTCGTAGAGGGGTCTACTCCTCTGCGTTCTTTTCAACTTTCCAAGAATTTTTCGAACAGTTTTAAATGACAGCTCTATTACAAGCATCGAAGCTGGTATTCACTAATGCAATATGCACTAGTGGATTTTAAACTGAAACGAGTCAAAAGTCGCTTACCGGATAATTTGACATCCTCTTGTATAATAAGCCTGGAATAAAAACGTAGTACAATACGGGGGGCACACGATTTGTTGGACAGCACTGACTGGCAGCGACTGATCTGTGGCACGCCGGTGTTTATTTACAACTTCCGACAACACCCACAACACCAAAGTCAAGGCATTCAATAAAGTAGGATTGTCACGTGTATTTAGGGCCTCGATCCCGTGCAAAGATCACTTATATTCCGTTCCGAATGCCTGTAGGTCACGTTGGGCTATAATTTTTTGTCTTTTAATGAAGAGCCTCAAAAAGTTTTTTCTCGAGACTGGCGCAGACGTTACAAACTTGTTATGTTCATTAATTTTTGATGAAAACAAATGCAAAATAGTTGCCGTTCCTTCGTGCCTATTTGATTGCAAATTGCCATGGAGACTGGAAGTGCAACGCCACAAGCACTCATTGAAATAGGTAGATTGAACAGGACCTACAAGCATGCATCCAAGGGGCCTTTGGCCGGATCTTTTTTCGTCCAACGGTCCAACGTAGCTGCCTGAAATTCAATGATAGGAGCCGTACCTTCATATTTTCCGAAAATTAGGTGCAAATTGCTTGAGTAACTGCCTCAATAGTGGGTTATTTTATACACCGAAAAGCAACGTTGTGTGTAAAATGTCAGAGTTTTTCTGAAAGTTGCAGTTTATAGCATGTTATCCTTGAAAGTTTGGGTACCAAAGCTGGCTGGGGCCAGCACATGTTTTCGTCCGGGCATCAGCTGCTTGTTTTCAACTTTAAAAGGTACATTCATTCGAAAGGTCATTTAATTAGACATGTTAAGGTCAAATTTCAGTTCATTCGGCATGTCTGGCCAAAAGACATGATGCTGAAAAAGTTGCTTTGCCTACAAAAGTTTCAAAACCCAATTTGTGCATCCGCAAGGGTTAAGTGTGACCTTGTATGCAGTAGTTTGCTATTGGCTTTCCATTTCTTTTTTGTCCACACATCTTCAGCTGTGCCTATCTAGGTATACTAAGCAAATCTTCATCCCCATTTTTTAGTTAAACCCATGACACCTAGACTCCTGCTTCATCACTCATCCCTAACTATAGAGCCTCATCCCTAGCACCTCATGCCCTGGCCTTACCCAATCTTGTTGAAAAACTCCCTGTAAGGAATATAACCCCATTCCCAGGCTGCTAGGGATCTGAAATATGTGGTAGGGTGTGTTTTGATTGATCAATGAAAGTGCATGTTTCATCAAAAGAAATACACACTGATTCATCAGTCAGGATAATTTGGTGATTCCATATTCAGTGGGAGTAAAGCTGTGCATTCCAAGTAGGCAATTGACTGGCTTCTCTCCTGTTATGCTCATTGCTCATCCCCTTTTTGAAAGCAAAAAAGAAAAATCATAGCTATGCGTTTTATATGGCCTTCTAATGTTGTCACTCAATGGAAGCATTATAAAAATGCGATCTTGGGACAAAGAATGCCTGGTGAAGTTACACTGCTGCCTGATTAGAGAATGTTTGTATTGCTGTCACTAGATGGCAGCAGTGGTAGGCGCCTGAATGTAGGCTGTACCGCAATACGCATCGTCGCCGATTGACCCTACCCAGCAGAATTATAACCGACAGCTCCCGTTCGGTGAACGATGGTGTTCAAAAGACGGAAGACATCTGAAACTTATGCATAAATAGCATAGTACCTATACAAATATGCAACACCACTTTCATGTAAAGATAGATGGTTGTATCTTCCCTTGTTCCTCCTATCCGTTATCAGTTTTAGATTTCTAGGTTTGTTAGCTCAATATTCGGGTAATGGGGAAATTGATAAAGTGAGTTTCTTGTAACTAGTGATTCTCTTTGTTTCAGTTCAACAATGTCATCACGCCGCCGGCCGATTGACACCCGTCCTGTCAGTGCTCGTGCAGAAACAAGACAAGGCTGTATTGGGGATACAACCGAGCAGAAATGCTGGATTCTTCACAAACAGTAAGTATCAGGGTTCGATTAGCTCGATGGGGTGAATTAATAAATGGGAGGGGAGAGGATACTCAGTAGGAATGACACGATTTTGCAAATTCGGGCAATAACATTGGCCTAAAGCTATCGGGACTGAGTGTCAGGCTGACTACCGCCGTTTCCGTGTTACAGTGAGCGCTAACGAGCTCTGGAAGGGAGTCACCGGTGTCAGTAACGCCGGCCGAAAGCGGGGCCGTGGCCGCGGCGCCGGAGTCAAGAGGCGGCGTGACCTCAACCGGGGTCAGGTTATCGGTGTCGGTAAGACTGTGATTGGCGACAGACTTTGGCCTACTGTAGGCCCGGTCTAACTGCGCTGATGTCTACTGCATGCATGTAAAGTTCATGTATCCTTTAAGAGGTAGCTGCATATCCACGGTGTACGATTACATCGTTCACGGTACGTAGATATTGGCGTAGCTGCTTAAGAGTTTGGTATTCAAAGTATTTACTCGTTCATGCCAGCAGTATAGAGATATTAATTACGTCATCCGGTGTCTGTCGCCCCGTCCGCCAGGCAAGGTGAACATGATGTGGCCCGGTCTGAACGCGCCCGTGCTGCGGAACGGCGAGCTGGTGCGCCAGCAGAGCCAGCCGCGGGACGAGCAGCGCGAGAGCCGGCTGCAGGCCATCCGGGACCAGTTCACTGACCAGCGCTCATTCAAACTGACCCCCCTCGAGCGCGGCTGGTCCGGAAACCGGCTGCCCGGACGCAGCATTGGGCCGCCCGACGCCATCGACTTTGGTAAGTTGTCTTCTTCTCTTCATTTTCCGATAAGACTTTGATGTTGTTTTACCGGTATGGAAATGCGTCATACATGAAACCAGCTCTCCACATGCCTATTTTTCATTAGTTTTCATTCGTTCACCTTTGTTCAGACTCCATGATAAAAAGAGGTGGACATTGCAAAACAACCTACAGTCAAGAAAGAAGTTGAATCAGAACGTTATGAACGTTGACGTGTTTTCAAAGTTCACAAGAACAGCTACTATCCAACAGGGTTAATTGGCTTAAATACTGTTTTCAATAATCGTCAATACTTTTTACCTCATCCTTCGGACCTTTGTTCAGACTCAATGATAAAAAGAGGTGGACAGTATACACTGTGCAAAAGAACCTACGTCGCCCACGTTAAATGCTGTTGCGCGGACAATGAGTTTTTATGCTATGCTAGCTCAATACCTACCGCTGGGTAAATGGGTGACGGTGGCAACACGGATCCTTGAGTAAGCCACTCAGTCACTAGCCCTTATTCATCGTCTCTGCACATTCTGTTCAAATATTTGGAAACGATGAATTGATGGCGGACAACTCGCTGTCGATGCCTGTCTGTTCGGTCGTACGGTGAAATCGGCACATACAGGGTGGACCAAAAAGGATGGAAACATTTTGAACTCGCATAAAACATGCATTATTGCATGCATGTGACTGGAAATGGTACCAAACGAGAGTACATTTCGTGGAAATTCATAAGGGCAGCACTCTCATCTGCTTTCTCTCGTTTTCAGTCTCTCACAGCAAATGTTCGAAGAGACCACCTTCGCAAGACAGGCACAGCGGCCGGTCTGGTGGCTGACGCGATAGCCCGACGACACATGTTCGCTGGTATGGCTGACACAGTCTTGGTGATCGCTCTCTTCAGGTCACAGAGACCTTCCTTGTAGACCTGGCCCTTGAGATGAGATGATCAAGAAGTCACTGCACAGCAGCAAGGTCACCGAAATGATGTGCCCTCAGCGGAAAAGGAATCGTGGGTCCACTTTGGTTCGAGGAAGGGAGCGGCAACACCGTGACCGCCAATCAACAGCGCATACCAGGCGGCGCTTAGGAAGTTCTGAGAGCGAGTCCAAACGAAGCATGGCAGCCCCATCATAGACCTTATGTGGTTCCAGCAAGACGGTGCGCCTCCTCACATCGCAAAAACAACGCTAAAGTGCATCGAAAACCACTTCGGTGACGGGCTGATATCCCACGGTGCCAGTCAGAACTGGCCTACCTGCTCATCCGACCTGACCCCTATGGATGTTTTACTGTGGGGTCATCTCAAGGGCCAGGTCTACAAGGAAGGTCTAGAAAGCCTCTGAACTAAAGAGAGCGATCAGCAAGGCTGTGTGAGCCATACAAGCGGGCTATCGTGTCAGCCGCCAGGCTGGTCGCTCTGTGCCTATCTCGCGAAGGTGGTCACTTCGAACATCTGCTGTGAGAGACTGAAAACGGGAGAAAGCATATGAGAGTGATGCCACTATGAATTTCCACGAAATGTACTCTTGTTTGGTATCATTCCCAGTCACATGCATGCAATTATGCATGCTTTATACGAGTTTAAAATGTTTCCATCCTTTTTGGTCCACCCTGTAGACCGCCGGGACGGAGATGCCGGCGCCGCGGCTGCACACCAGACGTTGCGCCCTTGATGGCATGATGAAACAAAAGAGACCGCCTTAGAAGTATGCAGTAACACTGCATTGCAGTGTTACAAATTGATTTAGCTAGTTCTTTTAAGTACCTAGATACAGGCTATAATGTGCTTAACTTCAACCAAATGTAAATAATTGCAGAAAGTTTGTCTTGAACTCAAATAAAGTCACTTCCACACAGGGCTGCGGAGTCGATGGATTTTCGGCGACTCCGACTCCGACTCCGGCTTTCAAAAACCAGCTCCGACTCCGACTCCGACTCCGGGCAGAATTGTCGACTCCGACCGACTCCAACTCCCGACTCCGACTCCGCAGACCTAGCAGGGCTGCGGAGTCGACAGATTTTCGGTGACTCCGACTCCGACTCCGGCTCGGGTTTCTAAAATCGACTCCGACTCCGACTCCGACTCCGGTCACAACTGTCGACTCCGACCGACTCCGACTCCGACTCCGCAGCCCTGCTTCCACATGCCTCCGTTCTGACCGATGCCTTCCCTGGTGTCGCAGAGACGTTCGATGGTTTCGACACGACCGTGCTGGAGCTGAAGACGGTGTTCTCCATGACGGCCACCGCCGGCCGGACGCGGCACATCAGCTGCTTCGCCGTGACCGGCAACGGCGCCGGCCTGGTCGGTTACGGTCTCGGCAAGGGCAACACGGGCATGGCCGCCATCAAACAGTGCAAGCGGCGCGCCGGCCAGCGGCTCATATACGTAGAGCGCTGCGACGGACACACCGGTATGTGGGGAGACTGAGGTATGACGAGCACTGACGGGCACACTGGTATGTGGGGGAGACTGGGAAGTGACGGACACACCAGTACGTGGGGAGACTGGGCTGCGAAGGCGGACACACAGGTATACAGGGGATACTGAGACGGTAATACCGGTACGTGGGACGATTCAGCTTTGGCAATCACTGACGGGCACATCTGTTTGTGGAGGAGGCTGGCCTGTGACGGACACACTGGTATGTGGCTATCTGATGTGACGGACACGCTGGTATGTGGGGAGATTGAGCTGTAATGGACACGCCGGTACATGGGGGAGATTGGTGTAACAGCCAGACACCGGTATGTGGCGGACTGTGTTGGGTCAATTACATATCTTCTTAATGTGACAGCCACATTCAGATCAATTACATACGCACTTCCTAGCAATACTGGCCTGTATGTGTATTTGGGAGACGACTCTATGGTGTAACTCTGGGCGACGGAATCGCAATTGGCGACCCGTGAGCCTTGTACTGTGCCCCAATGTATGTGTTCGTTCATCTAATATGTAGCATACGTTCCTCCTGCCGCAGTGTTTCACGACTTTTTCACGCGTTTCGCGGCGGTGCGTATATTCGTGGAGCGTCGTCCGCGCGGTCACGGCCTGCAGTGTCACCGGGCGATCCGCGAGATCTGCCACCGGGTAGGCATCTCCGACCTGTACGCCAAGGTGGAGGGGCCCACCGACAACGTGCAGAGCATCACCAAGGCCTTCTTCCTCGGACTGCTGCGACAGGTGAGCACCGCTCTTCGATCAGTGGGTGGTCCTGTGACCGACCGACGTACTCAGCTGACACAGACATGGTGGCCCGTGGGCTGACAGCGTAGTTTAAATCCGTACATCTTGTCACATTTAACCCGGCTGATTACATTTCGGATTCGGTTTTGTGGGTTATGGACTCAGCATAATGAATAAATTAGGGTGGTGCTCAATATTAACGCGTTCAAATTTGATATAAACGCGTTCAAATTTGGCAATAATACATACCGGATTATTACACATTAATATTAAATGATTATTACACATTAATATTAAATAATCAGACGTGAAAGTTTAGATCGTGCTTGAATATCGTCCTACCCCGCAGCATTCGTGCCTGACTCTGACCGTTTCCGATATTTGTTGCCGTAGCGGACGCACCAGCAGCTGGCCGACGAGAAGCGACTGCACCTGGTCGAGCTGCGACCAGAGGCGGACAACTACCCGCGCCTAGTGGCCTCGCCGGGCGGCGCGCCCGTGCGCTCCAAGGAGCAGATCCCCGCCGATGAGGAGCTCGACTTCCAGCTGGTGGGTGGATCGGGGGTGGGAGATGCCTTGGTGGATCGGGGGTGGGAGATGCCTGGGTGGATCGGGGGTGGGAGATGCCTGGGTGGATCGGGGGTGGGAGATGCCTGGGTGGATCGGGGGTGGGAGATGCCTGGGTGGATCGGGGGTGGGAGATGCCTGGGTGGATCGGGGGTGGGAGATGCCTGGGTGGATCGGGGGTGGGAGATGCCTGGGTGGATCGGGGGTGGGAGATGCCTGGGTGGATCGGGGGTGGGAGATGCCTGGGTGGATCGGGGGTGGGAGATGCCTGGGTGGATCGGGGGTGGGAGATGCCTGGGTGGATCGGGGGTGGGAGATGCCTTGGTGGATCGGGGGTGGGAGATGCCTGGGTGGATCGGGGGTGGGAGATGCCTGGGTGGATCGGGGGTGGGAGATGCCTGGGTGGATCGGGGGTGGGAGATGCCTGGGTGGATCGGGGGTGGGAGATGCCTTGGTGGATCGGGGATGGGAGATGCCTGGGTGGATCGGGGATGGGAGATGCCTTGGTGGATCGGGGGTGGGAGATACCTGGGTGGATCGGGGGTGGGAGATGCCTGGGTGGATCGGGGGTGGGAGATGCCTTGGTGGATCGGGGGTGGGAGATACCTGGGTGGATCGGGGGTGGGAGATGCCTGGGTGGATCGGGGGTGGGAGATGCCTTGGTGGATCGGGGGTGGGAGATGCCTGGGTGGATCGGGGGTGGGAGATGCCTGGGTGGATCGGGGGTGGGAGATGCCTTGGTGGATCGGGGTGGGAGATACCGGCGCACAGCGCCACCCGAGTGGGGAGAATACCGGTGGGCGAGCTAGCTAGGGCCTGGCCCTTTCAATTAATCGTTGTACTGTCGTTGAATTAGTGCCCATTACCCGGGGAGAAATATGCAAGCCGACGAATATCTAGCCTCAAACTTAGGAATAACTTCATATGCCGGCACTCGTCATGGGTGGTAGCTGGCAGCTCATGTTATTTCGATACTGACAGTCCGTCGTTGGTTTTCCAGCACATCTTTGAAGGAAAGGTGCCGCTCAAGATGCCTCCAAAACAGCCCTTCTACATGAAGCTGCCATGTTATCAAACACATCTGAACAAGGTCAAACATCTGAAAAATCAGGAGCAGGTCAGTATGTTAACTTTTCCACTTTACTTTTTTGTATTTACGATCTCGGACCGTGTTGCAAATTCAACATTTTGGGTTTTCAGTGTCTACCGAGGAAATGCCTACCAGTCGAGTAAATATTTCGGTTATTTGTGTTAATATTCGCTTCAAAATATGTACGACGTAAAAGTTCCAAACACAGGACTTGTAAACATCCACTAATGTTTGTATTCATAACGAATGTGCATGCCAGCCGGTCGTGATTTTTCCCTTTGCCCGTGGCTTTGAGCTGACCCGACTGATGTTGACGAGCTATCTGACGCGGCCCGTGTGCCCGGCCGACCAGGTGCGCGTGACTCTGCTGGCCGAGCACGGCGAGGTGCGCAGCTTCCTGGCCGACCAGTACCCCGAGTGTCGCGCCGCCTCGGCCGCGCTCTGGGCCGAGAAGAGACAGGCGGCAGAGGACGACCAGGAACAGGACGAGATGTGACGCGCCAAGACGTAGTGTTAAATGTCATCGCAGGAAACAGTCATGATTTATAATATAAGCGCTTGTGTGAGGAAATATTGATGTTTCGGTGATGAGTAGTGTGAAGCCAAACCGCCTTTCTGTCGCCAGAAAGACTTGTCTGAATCAACATTCGTATCTGGACCTCTCGAGTACATAGTCGCGCTGGTCTCGTAGGGTTAGTTGCACTTGCTCCTTAGCAACGGTATCCAATGACATGTTGTTCGTTACTATAGCAACGACGTGAAACGACCATCTAGGCTGTCGCGCAACACCAATGCTCTTTAGATTCCGCAACAGGCCGTGAAACGTCACCAACTTTTTCAAACTATGGCTGTTTGCCACGTCTTCGCCTATTGCACCATTGCTTCCCTTCTCAAGAGCAACTGGCCGGTGAATGCGCTTAATTCGTCTGTAGCACGTGCCTGAATCGCCCAGCCCCCAAAGGTGTTCAGAATCGTGCGAAAATCGACAATCGGCCGCGCCTGCGGAGCGACCCTGGCCGTGCACTTAGCCCACGGCCATAAACAAACGTGAGAACGCATTGCTCTGCCATCCGCGGTCGGCAGCTTCGTTACCAATGTATTCAGAGGCCAACGGCATCGTTGTCTGTGCGGCAATGGTCTGTGTCACCTGGCTGGCCATTGTGCCACGCCCCTCGCGTCACACGCGTCTGAATGGCGTCGTTTACGCGGCCACCACCGGGTGTGGAGCGTCCATCGAGGGCCGCCCGGGGGGTGTGGCCAGCGTCTGTCATTGGTCCGCCGCGCGGGAGCGGCTCCCTGCGCCCCCGGCCGGGGATAGAGACCGGCCGCGGCCCGCCAGAAGACCTCTGTTAGCCGACAGCCAGCCAGCAGAGAGGGCGAGTCGCACACCGAGGTTTACCGGGCATCTCGCCGAGTCCGGGGCTGCCGTTCCAGACCATTCACTTCTGCCAGACATCACACAGCTTCTATCTAGGCACACGGGTCGGAGCGCAGCCTCCTCGACAATCAGCTCCTGTTAGTCAGTTCCGCCGCTGGTCGCTCGCTCCGTCCGCCGTCCGCCCAGCACGAGATGTCGCTCCTGCTGTGTCAGCTGATGCTGGCTCTTGTGGCGGCGCTGGCCTGCCGCTGCTGGAGCCGGCAGCTGGTCAGCCCGCCCCCTGACTGCATTACCGACATCGCCCGCCGACTCGGCTGGCAGACCATCAACCTCAAGTATGAAGCCAACTACCCAGGTGATGACTGGTGGTAGGCGTGTGGGTACTGGGATATGAGGGAGCCTTTCAACACTGCCCTTGGTCCAGAAATCCAGCCGCCTGTTTAAAAATTCACAATCATTCAGCACCCTTCGAGATATCAGTTGGGCCGTGGCATTGACCCTCCCCATCGCTCGCTCCCCAGTCTCCAGTCCCCAGTCACGGAATGATGGCGAGAGGTGCTGGCCGAGAGGAGGGTCGCTCGGCCCGCACCGCTCGCCATCATTCCGTGAATCGTTCCCGCAGCCCTTTGATCCAGTCCCGGTCCCCAGACTGCTAATCGCTGCCCCCCTCATGATGGCAGGTTCTATCACGATTTATTACAATCTTTCTATACCGTTGTTTTCGGCGCTGGACAGTGGACACTTCCTGGGCATTTGATTATTAAACCCTCTCCAGGGAGCGCATTATAGAAAACCTAAGTCAAACCTAAGAACATAGTCAGAAAGGCCTGTGAAAGAGCTATCGAATGCGTTTTTCCGCGACGCTGTAGCTCTATTGGTTCCCGAGTTACGCGTTGGGATAACTCCGATAACCGATATATTTCCATCATTGTTTTTGACGCTCTCTCGAATGCCGCTTGCCGCGTGTCGCTACGTGGCCCAGGAGCCGAGTTAGATGGGGGGGGGAGGGGCGTGAAAACGCCCCCCCCCCCGTCACAGAAAACTCAGACCACCTGCAGCACGGCGCATGTTAATTTGCTGTGCGAACCACAACGTTGCCTCAAGGTTCAATTTCAGATGCCTCGACCTACCGAAATAAGTCGTTGTATTTGACTTTAGAACATATCAATCTGAAAATTTCATCAAAGATCAAAGTAATCATGCACAACAAAATTATACGACTGTCCCTACTGCACCTGTAGGTCCTACTCTCGAAAAGAAACATAAGGCCCCGCCATCCCTGATGGCCGATACGGTGCGGGCTAGTCCGCCGATGAGTGTTATGCGGGGTTTACGGCCTATGGGCACGGCCTCCGGTCGACCCGGCCACTAGCTGCCCATACACTGCATTGCACTGAAATCCGCATTGTATCATATCTTAAATCGCTAGCTGCATATCTTTATTTTAAACATAGGCAACGTAACGTAACGAAGTCCTAGGTAACGGAAGTCGGAAAGTAAGGTCACAACGTCGCGTAAGTGACCTCGTGGCGTATCTCTTCTTTCAATATCAGCGGCCGCCCGCCGGCGAGGCATTATATACCTATTACATGATATACACTGAAATATCCTTATAAGTCTATTGACTGCTGGATAAAAAATGTATCCGTGACACTATACCTTAAATGACCTTTTCCTAACCCTCGCCCGTGTTGGTGTTTTGCCAGCCGCGAACGTAAGGTGGGGGGGCCCTTGGACCCCCCCCCCCTCCCCCTTTGCTGTTCGGCCCCTGATCGAGCTAGAGCATTGAGGAAAAAAAAACGAGCGTGTTGCCCGTGACGAGCGGAAGCCGGTGATACCCAAGTAAAAGGTCTTACGTCATTGGTTGACCTTCCAGGTCAAGTTAGGTTAATGATCTAAAAATCGGGAAAATCATAACCTGTCATAACTTCTGAGATTGAGATTGTATGGGGTTTTCGGGGTGCTGATCACGAATTTCACGTTAGTGTTGATCACAGATGATATCTTTACGCATTTAGGCCGGTCGCGTCAGGTCAGCCGGTAGGCGTCCTGTGTGGTATTCATAGTAGGTGTCAACTGTCAACTGTCAACCACCACTGACAGCTTGCTTCGTAACATGTTACAAATGCACCAAAACTACTTTGTAAATGTTCAAATGGTTGATGATAGCTCTTTAGCATAGCAGGCAAAACCGCTGACCGGAAAGCTGGCGGGATCGGGATATTAGCGCTAGAGCCATCGTCCGTTGCAATTTTCTGCTCATACCTACCTGTAATATCATTTGGTCAGCATAGGGCACAAGTAGAACTGATGTGGGGGATGTTACTGAAAACTTGGTGCCGGTATCAGCGTAACTTCAGCAGATATCTATAAGAAAAAAGATAGGAAGAGATCGTTTCTCCTCTCCCCATACCATACACACGCTCACCCCTACGGGGCATCGGCCTGCAGTTGTATGGTAACTATTGCTTCTGTTTCTTGCAGAATTTAACCCCATGTGGTGGGTTTCGTACCTTTCCCGGAACTCCTTCTTCGTGCACCCATCTACATTCTGCGAGCACTGTAATCAAGCGCAGGGCTTGCCGCCCTTCAGCAACGGAGGTCTGCTCTTCCGACCAACGCCACCCGGCTTCATAAATATCAATCGCATGCACCTGATACACGTGGTGGGCGACCCGGCCTGGCGTCCTCACGACGGCGCGGCCGGCTGGGTCAGCTGGCTGTACCGGGACGACAGCGAGCACTGGCGGCTGGTCACCCTCAACTGGGGACCCGACACCGGCAACTGGGTCCGCAAGGACGTCGGCCGCTGCGGCCCGCGCCACTTCATCGAGGACCGGCCCGGCCTGCTGACGTACGCCATTCACGTCGGCGACTGGCTGCTGCGCGGAGCCATGAGGGGACAACACTTGAAGATGGGGTTCGGCGCGGTGCCGCCTTCCAACGAAGGAGGAGTGGTGAGGTCCGTCGGCTACGAGGATGGGATCGTGCTGCGAGACGGCCAGCTACAGCACGGCCCGCAGGCGGACATCATCCAGACAATGTCCAACTCGCTCGGATTCAGCTTCACCGTCATGCCCGTCTTCCCGAAGGGAAACACGTCCGCGTGGAAGGAGCTGGTCAACGAGGTGTCTCGCTATCGGTTGGACATCGGCCTCGGCCTGATGGCGCCGACGCCTCAGCTGCGCGAAAGGGTATCGTTCCTCGAAGCGCAGCGGTACGTCACCACGTACGCGACAGTGCGCAAGCCGCGGCTCAACAGCGCTGGTTTCGACCCGGGCAAGCCGTTCGGCATGGACGTGTGGACGCTCATTGTCGCCACGCTGGTCATCTCCAGCATCCTGTCGTGGATCATCACTTGGCTCGTTCGTCGCTTTCGAGATGGCCACTCAACGACACCTTGGAAATCGCTCCCGGATGTCAGTTCTCACGTGCTTCAGGTTGCAGGCATTCTTTGCCAGCGAGGCGTCGAGCTCACGACCAACTCCTACGCCATCGGCACTCTGTTTCTGACGTTAAGTATGTTTTCGCTCCTCATCTACAACTTTTACACGGGTGTCATGCTGAGCTACATGGCCGTTCTAGTACCCGCGTCGCCCTTCTCGAGTCTCTCTGCTGCTACTTCCAACGGTTATCGAGTTCGTTACCAAGCCGGCTCGCAGCAAGAAGACCTGCTGCGCTCAAACTCTACCGCCCTTCTGCGGGATTTTCTGGCGCACAGCAGCCCCATCGTTCACTTCGGCCCAGAGGAGGACTACCCGGCTGTTGCGGAGGCGGCCACTTCGCCCAACGACATCATTCTAGCATCGGACGCCTTTCTGGCCATGGACGAATCGATGGCAGACCCTGCTTTCTGTCCCCTCTGCTATTGGCCGGAGCCGGTGGCGCAAACTCCTGTAAGCATGATCGCCACTCCATACCTACACAACTCATGGATGCTGGGCCGCTACCTGCGAGTCCTACAGGAAACAGGCGTGCTGAACCGGTGGCGGCGCCGGCTGAGGCGCTCCTATCTGGCCGGCTCTCGGCTGTGCTCCACGGAGCCGCAGGCGGCGCAGTACTCGCAGCTGGGGCTTCGGTCGGTGGCTGTCAGCTTCGGTCTGCTGCTGGGCGGTGTGCTGCTCTCGCTGCTGCTGCTCGTGGCCGAGGTGCTCGTGCACCGACTGACGGGTGGCAGCTCCCGCCGGCGACAGCTGGCGCTCACCGGGCCGCACCAGACGACCTTCAGCAGCACGAGACCGGGGCTTCTGGAGGCAGCGCCGACTCCCGGCGACGCTCGGCGATGGGGCGCGACAAACGGTCACCCTGATCAGTGGCACCAGATGCAGGATGAACAACAGCTGCTGCAGCAGTACTCGCCCGATCAATGGTCGAGCGCCAGAGGGCAGCCGCTGGCTCATCAGTGGCAGCCGGTCACATCAGAAACCGAGTCGGTTACTTGGCAGCTGACCTGGACAGCAACAAGGGCGACGGCATCGGACAGTCCGGAGGGAGGCAGCGGCGGATTCATGCCGAGCCACGGCAGCACGACGACCGGGTCATAAAGTCATCAAGGCTGGCGCCGGCACACAGATATATAGCTCCCTATACATCCCGCGACTGAAAAGCAGAAGCATAGACCTATGTATACCGCACACAGTATACAGATTACAGAGGAATACAGGGGTCTACGGCAGAAGCCATCATTTAACCCTAATCAATGTAAAGAAGGCATTCATGTTGAAAGCTGCTCAGGTTTACAGTTAGGCACTGCAGCTTTCATAGACAATATTTTTCTTGTAAACTCTTTGTAAAGAACCGTGTCTAGTTAATAGGTGATCGCTTGCTTGTTCCATGAGCGTTATGCCACAAGTTTAGTACGCAGTATAGTGCAGTGCATACACTACTTAGCACATACGTACTTAACGTCGTTATCTGCAGCCTTTTCTTATAAAAACAGGCAGATATTGCACAGATGATCAATGGACTCTCGGGAGACGTGTTGTCCCAATGATGGTAGAAAATGTTTTTCATGTGCTTCGAAGATGGTAAATATGCTACGATGTTTAGAAATTGCAATGCATATTGACAAATCAGCACAACTGCACATTATAGGCATGCGACTGGCTGGTGTTGTCTCAAAATGTGAATACATAAAACTTGCTCATCGACATTCTTTTGCGACATATGTCATGGTCAACTGTATTTCGTCAAAGAATGCCTGCCTTTTCTCTGATCAGATAATCTTAGTAACATTCAAAATGCATTCATAGGAATGCAATCCATAGGCGGCAATATTCTAAGGTTCACAACTGGTGATATTATTTTGCAAATGAACTATGTTTTATACTTTTCGTACTTTTCATTGCATGGACGCGAGAAAAAAACTGTTTCCGCATCGAAAAAAATCACCAGTCAAAAAAAAAAATCATGAAGACAATCCAAATATACGTAGCGAGATCCAAATCCTCCAAGATCAAGCTCCAAGGATTACTTCTTACATGGGATGGCATTGCAGCAGGGCATATTTTAACAAATTTTTACTGCGTCCCAAAGTTGAGCAGAGGGCACGTGCTACGACTAAGGGCACAGGGCATGGAACAGAGTAGGACACTGAGGAGGGCAGAAAGTAGGACACGGCAGGTTACAGGGCATGGCTCAAGACATTTTAGAGGAAAGGGTACAGGTCAGGGCACACAGCAGGGCACAGGTCAGGGAACCGGACAGGGCACAGGGCAGGGACGCAGTGGGTCAAATCAGCAGGGGCTACGTCCCAAGACGAGGGGCAGCGTCCCAGATTGGGACGCAGTAAGTGCCTTAAAATATGCCCTGCATTGCAGGTGAACATAAGCTGTCATAAAGCTTATCAATTTAGAGCTTATCAATTATATTATAGAGCTTATCAATTTAGGTGGGGCGATCGAACAAACGGAAGTAGGATTACCTATCGTTCTCAAAGGCTCCAAACCCGCGTCTTTTCCCACGATATAAGCCTTCTATTAAGTCCCACTAAAAAATGCCGAGAGTAAGCTTGCAAGTGCAATCAGGTTATATATTAACACATCAAGCTGTATCTGATAAAGCCCGAACCCACACTGAACTGGCAATGGCGCAAACAATGGCATGTGATGCGACTGTCGCAATAAACATGCTTAGCTTATCAAAGATCGAGTCGACCACGGGCGTGCTCAGCCCCATAGCACCGCCTTATGTGCAAGGGGTGTGTCCTTTACACCCCTTAGCAACAAAACACATTATCATCGTCTCATAGCACGAGAGCCAATATCAGATGACCCACCGCGGAGCAGAAGCCGATCGCTGTCCGAGGGCGGCCGTTCACCTTTCGGGCCTGTCGATGGGCACCAGGGTGCAGCCGAGCAGGCCCGGCCCGGCCCAGGAGCGCGGCGTCAGCTGCAGACTCAGCCGGCGGCCGGCGCGCAGCGCCGTCACCGCCAGTGGGCGGCCGGCGCTGTGGCGCACCACGCCGGCCACGTCCGACAGAGAGCCGAAGTTGTCGGCATTCACAGAGCCCAGTGCGGCCAGCTGGTCGCCGGCGCGCAGGCCGGCCTCGGCCGCCGGTGAGCCGTCTGTCACGGCCGTCACCTGCAGGAAGGCAGCCGGCGGCGTGGCCGAGCCGCCCGCCTCCGACGCCGTGCCGGCCTCCCGGTGCTGCGCGTGCAGCTGCGCCAGCCCAGCCTCGATGTCGCTCATCAGCGCACGGTAGTCGTTCTGCAGGCGGCGTAGCTGTGCTCGTGCATGCCGCACAGAGTAGACGTCGATGTCGGAGCGCGGATATCCCTCTGCATCCACCAATGGCTCGTCCATAGTGACGTTCTGTGATGTGAGAACATTGCTCAGAGCAGCAATACGGGAATCAAGCTGCCGTTTTTCTTCATTTAATCGCAGGAGGGACGCACGCAGAGCACTACATTCGTCATCACCACTGGCACCACCGGCAGTGCCTGCTTCCACTGAAGTCATATTGGTGATTGTCCCTGGAACCAGACAATTCAATCAGGGATGCAAAATGAACAAGAAGCTATCACAAACCAGATCTCTCACTAATGACATAAGTACAGTTTAGTACAGAATGGTGTTCTATTTATAAAAGGCAATCAGTTACTTGCTGCCTAAAATGGTAGTTTGAGCCAAAATTACTTCACGACTCACTGGAGTCTGGACTCAGCCTCAGGGCTGCACTGCATTACATCTGGCAAACCAAGCCACTTCCTGGAGTGGAACTCAGCCAATTTCACCATGGTGGGGGAAGAGGTATCAGACCACGACCAATCATCTTGATAATTAAGAACATCAGAAAGATGTGGAAAATGGCAATTACTAGCTGCCCAATATAGTTATATAACCAGGATACTGTTCTTCAGAATTTCATATATGATCTTGAGTTTTGATAAGCTCAAACCCAAAGTTACTGGAGAGTGGAGGTAACCAGGGCCCCGCTTCACCGGTGATAGCAGCACGCTGCTATTCCATTTCGCGAGCTGACGTCACACTTCTGGTAGTGTTGGAGGAATAGGCTTGTTGACGTCTCCGGAAACCAAATTTGACACGTGAAATAGCAGCGTGCTGCTATCAAGCTGCTATCACCGGTGAAACAGGGCCCAGAAGTAAAGGCCCATAAATTTCTACAATATTGACAACATTTCACAATTCACAAGCCAGTAAAACAATTGTGAACCAAAGGAGCTACAGTGACAGTGCAGCAAAAAGCACATTTGATAGCTCTCTCATGCCTCTTCCACTTACTTAGCTTGACCTGGAGACCTGACTGCTTAACCCAAACCAACCAGCCTGGTGACCCGACAGGTACCCTGGGGTCAAAGTTTTCACAGTTCACACCCAATGAAAAATTGATGCATGATAAGCTATGCCAAATTGTGTGGTACTGTGTGCCATGTTTTTCTCAAATCTCTACCCACATAAAACTGGAGATCGATCGGCCAAATATATTACATGTCAATGTACAACTGCCCACAGGGCACAGACTACATGTGCACCCACGTACCTACCATAGCAAAGGTCAGGGTGGAGTGGCTCAGCCTGTCCCTAACTTTACACAAACTATACTATAAATTGTGTTATAGCTAAGTCTCAGAACCTAACCCGCGCCCCGCTGGGGGGGGGGGGGCAGAATCTGCCCCCCTCCCGTTTTTCGCCAATAACTTCTAAACGCGTTACGCCAGCGACGTCAAACTTTCAGTACCTTATCATATATCAATTTAAGACATTCCCTGAAAATTTAAGCGAAATCCGTCAGAATTTTTTTTAAGAAAATGACATTTCAACGACGTCATGTTAGCCATTTTCGCCTAAAAAACGGCAAAATTTCAAACGCCGCTGACATCTTCATTTTTAAAGGAATCAAGACGTAACAAACCAGTATAACGCCTTTTGGGGCGACTAACGGAGCGAGCGAGAGGGTGAGCCTTGCACGTGCGAAATTTCGAGGGGGTACCTCCAGCTGACTTGTGCACGGCACCCTACTAACCGGTCTCTAGCGATGTGCCCAATTTGAGCGCAATCGGCCCAGCCGTTCTCGAGATCTGGAAGCGGCACCCTGCACGTGCGCACGTGCAAAATGGGTCCCAACTGACTTTTGCACGGCACCCTACTAACCGGTCCCTAATCATGTACCAAATTTGAGCGCCATCGGTCCAGCCGTTCTTGAGATCTGGAATCGACCCCTGCACGTGCGCACGTGCAGCAGCACCCCAACTCTGGCACATGAATATGCATTGCCTAGTGGGTGCCTACCTACATGCCAACTTTCAGCGCAATCGGCCCAGTAGTTACCGAGATATTGCAACAATTACAAAAGTGACACCTCTTCGTTTTGCACGTGGCACGTGCATAAGGGGTCACCCACGTGCATCGGGAATAGTCCAATACTTGGTAGAAGGAATGAAGCTACCCTACAAAAATTACCGCGTGTAAATCGGTCAAGTGGTTGCTTAGATATAAGCGTCGCAGAATCGTGACCACGGCCGGCCGGCCGGCCGCTCATACTCAGAAATTTCCGTTATTCTACGTAAGACTCCGCTCGCTTCGCTCGCTCCGTAAAAAGTTATACGTGATTCTACTTTGTCTATCAATAAATATCATTTTTGAAAATTTTGGATTTTGGCCCATTTTTTTCAAAAACGGATTTTTTTTGGGAAAATAATTATAAATCCAAAATTTAAAGCGTATCGAAAAAACCGGAATATATGTCAGAGAAGTGGTCTATGTGCATCTACATACCAATTTTTAGAAGAATCGGTTCAAAAATGTGGGAGTTAGGTATTCAAAATTTTATGACGTCACAACACACAATTTTTAAAACATGATTTTTTTTTTGAAGTTCTAGATTTCGTAGGGAAACAAAAATAGCACCATTCGATTTGCCGCGAAAAACTGCATCAGATAGTCACCTTTTTAGGCCTTAACAACCAACTTCAAAATTTGACTTCACTTGACCTGACCTCGACCTGAAATTCATCTAGAGGTGGTCCATATCACTTATTGAGTGTGCCTATTGAATTCTATGAATAAAATGACCCATAAAACATGTGTCGCACATGCCCTTTTCTATATTTTGTTTTTGGTGACCTGACCTGACCTTGACCTTGACCTTTGAATGATATTGTATGCAACAAATATTGTCATGGTAGCCTAAGAACACGTTTTGGGCAATCAGTCTCAGTCCATTCTTCGGCAACTACGGTGCAAGGCCAATACCTACTGTAGAAACTTGCATTTTGTACCCTTGACCTGACCTTGACCTGACCTCTCTGACCTCCTTAAGCAAAAAAAATTGGGCTCTTAAGATCCGCCTTGTTGAGAGCTTTTGATTGCCATTTTCCCCGTCTTTCTACGACCATCGATTTGGAAGTTAGACAGGGGGGGGGGGGCAGAATCTGGGACGACGGTGAAAACAGGGCGCCTGGGGCGAGTTGATCAAAGTTCGTGAGATTTTCACGTGACGTTTAGCATGTAGAAGGCCCACGGAGGGGGACCGGGGAGAAGTTCCAAATGTCACGTGACCAATATCACCTCCGGCGCCCTCCGCCCTCCGGCGGCTCCGGCGCAATATTTTTTTTCAATATGATGTACCTATTTAAAAGAAGTTGGATTTAAGGAAAATTTGGACGTAAACTTCGAACATTTAGTTGATGGCGTAAAACAATATTGCGGCAATCGTGCGCCAGAATTGCCCCTAAGTCAGCAGTATGACGTCATCACATTACGTCAGCTCACGCAATTTGATAGCAGCGTGCTGCTATCACCGGTGAAACAGGGCCCAGGACTGCGGAGTCAATGGATTTTAGGGTGACTCAGACTCCGACTCCGGCTTTAAAAATCGACTCAGACTCCGACTCCGACTCCGGACGGTTCTATTAAAATCCATATCATGCAATACTGAAGCTCATAATGGATATGTTTTATCTTGCCTGAAACGATCCTTTGTGCGTTCCAGGGCTTTGGGTTGCAAATATGCATAAAAACAATATTAAGAATTAACAAGCAGGTTCTGGGGAATTCAACGTCTTCTGCTTCTTTCTCTGAAAACGTTCATCCAAAACAGCAGTGGTCATTTTTTCGACAAAATCTAATTTCGAGAGCAGTATCGTCAATTCAACAGGTGCAGTGCATGACGTGGAGCCAGACTCTGACTCCGACTCCGCAGCCCTGCTCCTAATCTTTCAGAATATTTCATAAATGAAATATAAAAACACCTACCGTCCGACCGATAATTTCCAGCTCACGCTTGAATGCTTGAAACGCGCATGACCACGTGAAGACTTGCGTGAAGACACGTCAACGTAGCACTCGAGGGACGACGGTGAAAACAGGGCGCCTGGGGCGATTTGATCAAGGTTCGTGAAATTCACACGTGACGTTTAGCATCGTAGAAGCCGTAGAAGGCCCACGGAGGGGGAGAAGTTCCAAATGTCACGTGACTAATATGCCCTCCGGCGCCCTGTTTTCACCGGCGTCCCACTCGAGCAATACACAGCTCGGGCATGGATTAGGTATTCCTGGATGGGACACTCCGCCGATTTTCCGACCACCCGGCGGCGGCGGCGGATTTCCCGACGGCGAGGGCGCTGGCGCCATTTTAGCATTGCGGGCTATGGGCGGAGCGTGTCTTTTGGTATACTTTTGTCGTTTATTACTTACCTATAACCGATTTTGATGAAAATTTTTGTGAACCTGGTAGAACAGGAATTGAGGAATGTCATGGGAATATTCTTTTCCCAGTTTTGATTTAAGAAGTTGCTTAAATTCTGCTGACAAGTGAGGGTTCGTGATTACAGCCGAAGAGCCAATGTTAGAATAAAGTTAAGTTTTATGCGATAACATGAAAATAAGTTGATATTTGTATTAAATTATCAATAGGAACTTGTTTGACTGCCGAGGAACGATGATATTTGATGATAAATTGCATCGGCAAGTCAAGAATACCGGCTCAGTTTATGGGCATCAGGTAATGATTCCGTATGTGATAGTGACTAAATGTAGCCATAATAATTATAAGAAAGGACTAAAAATTATGTTAAAAGTGTCTGAAATTGTGTCTTATGAGCTAAAGTTCGCTAATTTCGCCCTCCATTACCGCGTTTTTAGCACGCAAGCCGGTGCGGCGGCCGCCGGCGCACTCGCCGCCGATGTTTCGGAGCTCCGCCACCAGGGCGGCCGCTTGGTCGCCGGCGCTAGTGTTGGGGAATAGGGAGTGTCCTATCCAGGGCCCTGTTTCACCGGTGATAGCAGCACGCTGCTTTTACACGTGTCAAATTGAGTTTCCATGGAAACATCAACAGGCCCATTGCTCCAACACTACCACAAGTGTGACGTCAGCTCGCGCAATTTGATAGCAGCGTGGTAGCAGCGTCCCGCGAAACACCGCCCAGGAATACTTCATCCATGGCTCGGGGCAATTTACTTTGAGGAATGGCTGGGATCATTATAATTTAGCAGCTTGTCTATCACATGAAAATAGTGATAAGTAATTGGATAGTTTTCACAAAATTTGAGTGTTCAGGTCTTTATATCTATGGTTCAGGTAGTTTGCAGTATTCAAAATTAAATTTCATCAATTTCAAATTATTGCTTGGTAGAGTAACGCTAAAATAACAAGTCAACTTTAGATGTTTCCAGTCACGTGACCATTGGCTTTGTAGGAATTTTATTTATAGTCACCGTGGAATTTAGCAGCTTGTCTATCACATGAAAATAGTGATAAGTAATTGGATAGTTTTCACAAAATTTGAGTGTTCAGGTCTTTATATCTATGGTTCAGGTAGTTTGCAGTATTCAAAATTAAATTTCATCAATTTCAAATTATTGCTTGGTAGAGTAACGCTAAAATAACAAGTCAACTTTAGATGTTTCCAGTCACAATGTTTCTCTCCTTGACAGAGGCTTTCATGGCGCAGGTGAATTCGTTTCCCTCGGGAACCCAAGCCCGCTGTTCCCCAGCTTTGCCCCAGCCCAAGGCGGTATAAGAGCCCCAGCCAACTTATACGGCCTTGCCCCAGCCGTTGCTTGGATGGTTTACCCAAGATTGAGATACCTACCTAGAAGAAACCCTCATCTCTTTCCCAAGTTTCAAAGCCTAGCAACATTTGTATTGTTGGAAGTTTTAGTGCTTGCCTTTGCTTGGGAAGTCTGAGCCAGCTGCTTCAATAATGTTTTCCTGAGCCTTTGAACAGTTTTCATGGCTTTGTGGCTTTGTGAGAGAAATTGACTGACTGTTAAGGTGAACTCTAAACTGCGACTGCTGTGGTGCCCTTAATTAATCGAGATGGCTGTTTCAGGTGTGATTTGTGTAATTCAATGGAATAGAATGTAGACTTACGAAGATATTTTGTTTGCAAGAAGTTCATGTAAGTCTCAACGTGGCCGCCAGTGGCAGTGCCAGTGACTTGCGCCAACTGTTGAGGGCATTCCGATTCTGATTCAGGTGTGTTAAAATGTTTTCGGAAGAACTAAGGTCTGTTGAAGCTGATTTTATGATATCTGCACTTGAAGATTTGAAGGAGGAACAAAGGATAAGTAAAAATGGTGGGTACTAGGTACCAGTGCCGGTTAGTCCTTACTCCTTACCTACATATGTTCTGTTTTTTTCCACTTTGCTGCTGAACATGTGTGTGAGAGACAGTGTTGCCGCGGCCAGATTTTACAGCGTACCAAGAGCGCATCCAAATCGTACCAGATTGGCTGTTTCTGGCTGCGTACCGTACCAGATCGTAGTAGGTCAAAACGTTTTTAGTTCATTACTATAAAAATAGCCATAATTGCGGTATGTTCATGCCAGTAAGTAATTTATGACCCATTTGACCCAGTAATTCGACTCATTCGTCTCCCCGCGTCGCTTCATACAGGCAGAAAGGTGCTCTTCTGAAAGCCCGAATTCATGTGTAGGTACCTAAAATTGGCCTAAAAATAAGATCGAAATTCTGCCCTTTCGAGAGGGGGAGGGGGCACTTAAGTGTACCGTTGAGACTGGCGATTGTACCCAGGATCCTAGCTTGCAGGCGTATATTCGAATCCAGTATGAGTAGAGCATGGGTCCCGAAAAATTCTTCAGAAACTAGAGAAATTCTCGCGGGGCAAGACGACTGTCAAACTAGCAGCGAGTCCAGCAGCGAGAAACGGGCCATCCCGATTTAGCTGAAAATTTGCTCACAGAGCCTTCTCAGCACGCTGATTCCGAAAATCATGGTCTCTAGGGTGGGAATCTTTACCGTTCTCGAGATAGAACCCTCTAAAGTTTTCGACACCCATGACCGGGCCATCCCGATTTGTCTAAAAATTGGCTCACAGAGCCTTCTCAGCACGCTGATTCCGAAAATCATGGTCTGTAGGGTGGGAATCTTTACACCGTTCTCGAGATAGAACCCTCTAAAGTTTTCGACACCCATGACCGGGCCATCCCGATTTGGCTAAAAATTGGTTCACAGAGCCTTCTCAGCACGCTGATTCCGAAAATCATGGTCTCTAGGGTGGGAATCTTCACCGTTCTCGAGATAGAACCCTCTTAAGTTCTTACCACCCATGACCGGGCCATCCCGATTTGGCTAAAAATTGGCTCACAGAGCCTTCTCAGCACGCTGATTCCGAAAATTATGGTCTCTAGGGTGGGACTGGGAATCTTTACCGTTCTCGAGATAGAACCTTCTAAAGCTCTTACCACCCATGACCGGGCCATCCCGATTTGGCTAAAAATTGGCTCACAGAGCTTTCTCAGCACGCTGATTCCGAAAATCATGGTCTCTAGGGTGGGAATCTTTACCGTTCTCGAGATAGAACCCTCTAAAGTTTTCGGCACCAAAGACCGGGCCATCCCGATTTGACTGAAAATTGGCTCACAGAGCCTTCTCAGCAAGCTGATTCCGAAAATCATGGTCTCTAGGGTGAGAATCTTTACCGTTCTCGAGATAGAACCCTCTAAATTTCTTACCACCCATGACCGGGCCATCCCGATTTGGCTGAAAATTTGCTCACAGATCCTTCTCAGTTCTCAGCACGCTGATTCCGAAAATCATGGTCTCTAGGGTGGGAATCTTCACCGTTCTCGAGATAGAACCCTCTAAAGTTTTCGACACCAAAGACCGGGCCATCCCGATTTGGCTGAAAATTTGCTCCCAGAGCCTTCTAAGCACGCTGATTCCGAAAATCATAGTCTCTAGGGTGGGAATCTTTACCGTTCTCGAGATAGAACCCTCTAAAGCTCTTACGACCCATGACTGGGCCATCCCGATTTGGCTAAAAATTGGCTCACAGAGCCTTTTCAGCACGCTGATTCCGAAAATCATGGTCTGTCAAATCGACCGGGCCATCCCAGTCAAATCGGGATGGCCCGGTCATGGGTGGTAATAGCTTTAGAGGGTTCTATCTCGAGAACGGTGAAGATTCCCACCCCAGAGACCATGATTTTCGGAATCAGCGTGCTGAGAAGGCTCTGTGAGCAAATTTTCAGCCAAATCGGGATGGCCCGGTCATGGGTGGTAAGAACTTAAGAGGGTTCTATCTCGAGAACGGTAAAGATTTCCACCCTAGAGACCATGATTTTCGGAATCAGCGTGCTGAGAAGGCTCTGTGAGCCAATTTTCAGCCAAATCGGGATGGCCCGGTCTTTGGTGTCGAAAACTTAAGAGGGTTCTATCTCGAGAACGGTTAAGATTCTAACCCTAGAGACCATGATTTTCGGAATCAGCGTGCTGAAAAGGCTCTGTGAGCCAATTTTTAGCCAAATCGGGATGGCCCAGTCATGGGTCGTAAGAGCTTTAGAGGGTTCTATCTCGAGAACGGTAAAGATTCCCACCCTAGGGACCATGATATTCGGAATCAGCGTGCTGAGAAGGCTCTGTGAGCCAATTTTCAGCCAAATCGGGATGGCCCGGTCTTTGGTGTCGAAAACTTTAGAGGGTTCTATCTCGAGAACGGTAAAGATTCCCACCCTAGAGACCATGATTTTCGGAATCAGCGTGCTGAGAAGGCTCTGTGAGCCAATTTTCAGCCAAATCGGGATGGCCCGGTCATGGGTGTCGAAAATTTTAGAGGTTTCTATCTCGAGAACGGTTAAGATTCCAACCCTAGAGA